GAACCCCCAAATAATTCAACTAGTCGACCCTGCCCCCTGGCCTCTGCCCCCTGGCCTCACATGTAGTGCCCCATGATCAGCAGGTAACGTGGCGGCTGCGTCAGCTGCAGTAGCACAAGCTGCAGCTGCGGTGTGCTGAGCAGCAGTAGCCTCAGCGCCGGTGGGCGGCGCAGCTGGCGGGTGCGGCGGCGGCGCATCTGCCAGGGTCAGACTGCCGTGGTACTGCCACGTGAGCTCGTCCTGTACGATATCCAGCCCACAAAATCCGCACTCCCATAAGCCGTCCTGCCGTACTCCGTACAGTTATAGTAGTACCGTGGGAGCGGGGTATAGAGGATGGTGTGGAGGGGTAGTGGGAGGGGGCATCAAGTGGGTTTGGTTCGGACGGGGCCTGGACTCGCGAAGGGTAAACGACCTAGCGCATGTGGATTTCAGCCGCAGGTCAAAGTTTCAGTTTGCACCCACCATCGACTGGTCCTTGCTGGGGGTGTCTAGGGTGGTGTGAGAGTCCGCGAGACCGTTCGTCGCTGTCGATGCTTTGAACGGAAGGGAGGAATGTCCAACACCGCCATCTGCTAATGCAGCCGGTGCCCCTGGTGCACCTGTAGAACCGCCTCCGCCTCCGCCACCGCCACCGCCACCGCCACCGCCTCCGCCACCGCCATTGCCCCCGCCACCGCCATTGCCTCCGCCACCGCCTCCGCCACCGCTTCCGCCTCCGCCACCATCGTTGTCCACGTCATCAAACTCGAAGTCCAGGAACATGGATGCGGCACGCTGTACCGGCCGGCCGCATTGCCTAGATAGGTATCACCGCAGAACAGTATGAGGTTGGTAGGTCAACAGCGCCATCAACAATCCGCCGCCTCCTCGAACAGCAAAGCTTCGAAGACCTGTAAAGGTCTGAATCCCCTCAAACTCAACCCGCCGTCCGCAATTGTGGAGAAATCCCTACTTACACATGCTCACACACACATTACATAGATATCATCAGTGGTCAGATACTTGTAACCTTCACACACTGATTGGATATCATCATACTTTGCAAAGCTTGCAAGTCTTTCACAACAAATGGCGCTCTTTCCTTCCTTCCTTCCTTCCTTCCTTGCGTTCTAAACACTTTACCTGTGCACACGATGCGTCTCCACGACGGCTGACCGAATCACCACAACACATGCCAACGCGCCGCACCACACATCTGCCGTACACTCAGCCGCCGTACCCGACTCAGCCGCCAGCGGCGAAGGTCTCCCGCAGCCGCCGTTGCAGCTGCAAAGTGGCGGCGGCACAGCGCCTAGTGGTGCTGCTGCAGCTGCTGCTACTGCTGCTGCTACTGCTGATGATGATGGTGCTGCTGCTGATGATGATGATGATGGCCTGGTGGCCGCTCCGAAACCAGGGCATGCGCACACGGCCGCAACTGCCCCGACACCGCCGGCGCTGCCGTCAGCACATTCATGCCTGCTACCACTCGGAGTCAGGACGAAGGGGCGCGTTATGTACGGCACATCGCGGCTCCAGATACCTCGAGGGTCCGGCAGCTCGCGGGTGGCGGCCGCGACGGCGGAGAGAACGTCCACGGGCCAATGCAGCCGCGGCGGCGGCGCTGCTGGTGCTACTGCCGCCGAATGCTGCTTGTTTTGATGGCGGTGCGAATGTTGTTGCTGTTCTCGCCAACACTGCTCGTTGGCCGGGGCCTGGGAAGCCGTCAGGTACTGATGCGCCCGCCGCAGCGCCGCCAAGCATGTGTACGACACCAAAGGCGGCGTTGTCATATGGGCGGGCATCGACGTCAGGCTATGCGCCTCACTTTCCGGCGCCGTCTCGTTCCACGACAGGGCTTGGATCGGCACTTCGGTCGCCAGCGCGGCACCATCCGCCGCGGCGGCGGCGGTGACGGCGGCTGGAGTCGTACTGACAGTCAGGGTGCGTTCTTGGGGGCGGCGGTGTTGCTGCAGCGCCGCCGCCGCCGCCGCCGCCGCGCCGGCAGCCAGGGCGACGGCGGAGGCACTGTTGGCAGGCAGCGGTACGGCACCTAGCAGAATGACGACGTGGCCTTCCCGCATGTACGACGGCACCTTGTTTGTCGCCGTCACGGGCGCAGCGTCGTGGACGTATCATTGGGGTTGGGCCCGTAAAAAGGGGACCAGCAACCGCTTAGAGTGCGAGATCTTGGAGCAGTGGTAATGCGTCGTTTTGGAGGTCCACGAGGACAGACAGACAGACAGACAAACAGACAAACAGACGGACATTTACTTCGCCACATTTCCAGCCGCGCATCTTTTTTACCCGTTTTTTTTCCGTTTCTGCATGCCCCCGGACGGACCCACCACGTGGACTGTTCCACCGACCTTACTGCCCCGCGCCAGGTGCATCTCCGCCGCCACTACACCCGTACCGTCGTTGAGCAGCACCCGCAAACGACCCCTGTGTGTGTGTGCATGTGTGTGAGAGGTGTAGGGGAAATGTGTGTGTGTGTGTGTGTGAGAGAGAGAGAGAGGGGTCCAAGTGCGTGTGTGTGTGTGTATGCGGTGGGGGGGACTGTAAGACAACAAAGACGAAACGAGAGCACCGGAGGGATAAAGCAGTTGCAGCGGTTGTACAGCAGCGGCCGTGGCGCTACAAGCAACTAACTAACCGCAATGAAGGTAACTGTGTGAGATAGTGGTAAGCGGCATGTGCGCGCACACCCTCCTCTCCGAAACACACAGCCCCGAAGTGTGCAACACAAGCAAAGCCTCTCCCGTCGCTGCGACATCAGCCCTCCCTCGCCTCGTATTGCCGTATGTGCCGTACCCGTGCGCCGTCCCGGCGCCATGGCTGTAGCCCAGCACCGCTTGGACTCGCGCCACCACTACTGTACGACAGGTGACGCCATCGCCGGGCCCTGGAGCTGCGGTACATCCAACCGCCGCCGCTAATGCAGCGCTTACAGTAGCACCAGTGGCATCAATAGCACCACCAGCGGCGGCGGCGGCGGCGGCGGCGGCGCCGTCACAGCTGCCACCGCTTACCCAGCCCAGACCTCCAAGATGTGCCGATGGGGCCAAGCTGCACAGACCTAGCAATGCATGGCGGGGCTCTTGGCCTGGAGATTTGGGGTGCAGGCACCACCGCTGTGAATGCGGCTGCTGCTGTGTGGTGGGAGCCGTTGCCGGCGCTTCCCCCGAACCGCCGCAGTTGGGACGACCCAGATGACCCGTCGCCTCCGTCGCCGCCGTCTCTCCATCCACATCCATCAGATCTACCCCCGACGACGGCAGCGTCGGAACCGCCGCCGCCGCTTCCGGCGCCGTCAGACCCCAACAGGACGGCAACACTGCCAGAATCGTGTCTGTGGTGTGCTCGTACGACAACGACGCCGTCGCCGCCACCGCTCCTTCCGCCGCCGTATCCCGTACATGCACCGTAGGTTCGTACATGGCGATGACCTCCCCTGCCAGTAACAAGTCCCCCAGTACCACCGCGTCACCGAACAAGTCCAAGCTGACGGTCGGAGCAGCGGCGGCGCCGGCCCCGGCGGCGGCTGTAGCCGCCCCTGGCGGTGTCGACGGGTCAATCAGGGAGATAACACGTCTCCTGCGCCAGCAAGAAAATGCCTTTTAAGTATATCAAATAAAATATATTTATAAATTTAATATAAATATATTTATTATCCATATAATTAATAATTCGTAAATTTAATATGAGAATGAAATAAAAGTAGAGGGAGAGGGAGAGGAGAGAGAGAGAAAAAGGAGAAGGGGGAAAGTAGAGGTAGACCGTGTGCGATTGTGTGGCGCTAAACACGTTCTTCACGCTTCCCCACGCAAGACAAGGAAAACCGGAACCAGCTAAACGCAGTATGACTCGACAGTTACAGCCGATTTACCGGTATCTGTCGAAGGCGCCAGGCTCCCTAGGCGGCGCCGCGCCCACGGCCACCACACGCGCCACCACCCAGCCAGCCACCTTGGCGCGAGTTCCCCGGGCCACAGCCGCCAGAGCGCCATCGCAGGCCTGTGGGCATGACGACAGAGAAATACAAGTCCCCTAAAAGTCATGGCCACCGGAACCCTAACGCAGTAATAACAGGGTGTTGAACCAATTTAAAAAACCCAAACCTCACCCCAACACCCCCCAAAGTGTAGCATAGGCAATAGACTCTGTGTGTTTAATAAAAATCACACAGTCGAAGTTTAGCTTCGACAAGACCGGCACTGTCCCTGGGTAACTTTAGTGCGGGATGAATGTGTTGTTGCTGAAAATTTTCACGTGGTAACGTAGGATAACTAAGGATTGTCGGTGCAGCCTTCTCTTCGTACTGGGGTCGGCGCGGTGGTTTGGATTTAGGTTCTGCTGCGTGGAACCAATGCCACAGCAGTGGGTGATGCTGTTGGTGTCGGCTGACCGCAAATTGCAGGGTGTAATAGGCGGCTCCTGACTGCAGCGGCCTAGCCAGCAAGCCGCACCACCACCCGCACTGGGTCCACGAAAACAACCCCCCCCCGCCACCACTGCCACCACCACCACCACACACGGCCGCATCATCATCACCACCACTCAACCACGTAACTAACTCCCCCTCAACCACCCAACCGTCAACCGCACCTGGCTGAGTCCCAAGGGATCCGTACCGCCGTGGCGCAGCGCATCGAAATGTGGCCAGGAGCTTAACCAGCAGCCAATGCCGCCAGGGGAGGCGGCGGCGGCGGCGGCGGGGCACCCTGGAGCGGTACCCGCGGTGGAGCCCCCCATCAGGAGAGATGGTGGAAGCTCCGGAACCATGAAGCGAGTGGGCAGCAGCCGAGTCACCTGTTGAAACCAGGAAGCCGGAAATGGGAGATGGAAAAAACGCTGGGAAACGCTGGGAAGAATGTGAATAATTGTTTTTCTTGATGGGGACCAAAACGACGTTGAAGAGGAAATCCGAGGATGGTCAAGTGAAAATTCGATGTGGGGATGAGAAGAAGGAAGGAAGAAAACGGGGAGAGAGAGAGGAAAGCGGTGTGCAGGGAACGCCCCTGTGAGGAAAAAATGAATGGTGTGCGAGAGGAAGAGGGGATTCGGGGGGTGGGCTGAGGGAATGTGTGGAATGTGTGGACGCTGGATAGGGCGTCCTAGCGCAATGATATTTATATGATATTTTATATGATATATATATGATATTTATATGATGTTTATATGATGTTTATATGATGTTTATATGCTACTTCCATATCTACGCTATTTTAGCGCCCCCGCAGCCCTCACCGCGGGACTGGTCGCTGCGGGAGCCGACCTGGGGGGCACTGCCGCAATGCGAACGCGGCGACCAGCTGCCGGGGGGAAGAAAAACAAGTTGGGGGCATTGGGAGAGCTGGGTGGGAGACGGAGAGGGAGAGGTATGGATGAAGGGTTTTAGGGTTGATGATTTCGATATCACTCATATATCGATGTCACTCGTGTGAGCGTAGGTGATGATGACGCTGAGTGATGGGGGACTGGCAAGACGATATTGAGAGGATAGATACATACGTAAAAATAAAGCAAATGTGGAAGATGTGATGTGGAAAGGAAACCCCCTACAGCCGTCTGCCCAGGCAAGGAACACATCCGCCACTGCTTCCCCGGCCTCGGTAACTATTCTCTTCTCGGCCGCCTCCCCTCATTTTCCCCCCCACACACAGACCTTCCCCTCATTCCCTATCAACCTGCATCAAAAACGCAAACGCATTTACACATTACACAAAGCACGCAAATCAAAGTACTCGCGTGGCACGCCATGCTCGCCAGTCCCTATCCGCGGCTAAGATCCCAGCAAGTCAGTATAAGCAAGCAACACACCGGCCAGAAGTGGCGTCCGGCCCATCACAAGCAGCCGAAGCTCGCTGTGCAGGTACATGGGAATTGCCACGCCAGCGGGATGCGGACCGCCCCCCGCCCCTGGGGGTGCGGCTACTGCTACTGCTGCCGTACTCCTGCAGCCGCTGCTAGCTACCGCAGGTGCTACTGCTGTTGGACCACCCTCTTCCAAATAGAGCTGCCAGGTGCCGCCCACGGTCTCGAACGGGGGTCCTGCAAGAAGGGGGATTAAGAGGGGAAACACATGTGAAGCTAACAACAACAACAACAGCAACAACAAGAATTGGCAAATGTTGACGTCCAAAAGTACCGGCTGCTGGGGAGTTCAAAGCAATATGACGCGACGGAATAAGATATGCCGATGCTTGTTTCCCCGTTGCCTGCCAGCAGTCGTCAACCTCGGCTTCTTGATGCCCAGCAGCGTTGTGTAAAGAGTATTATTGCTATTGGAAAGATGGGATGGGCGAGCGACAGGAAAGGCGATATGGCGGGTGTGTGGCCGCTGGACGAATGGGTGATCTAGATGGGTGATCTGGATGGGTGATCTGGATGGCCAGGATGTAAGGTCAGCGGGGGTAACACAAACCACTGGCGAATGGAGCATATTCAGTGGGGCAAAGCGGGCAGTGCTGTGTTTTCTTTCTTTTTGTGTGTGTTTTTCACGGCACGTGTGCGCCATTGTCATGCTGCTGATACAGTGTTGTATGTGTGTGTGTGTGTGTGTGTTGTGCGTCCGTATGTATGTTCAAGCTGCTGTTTGCGACAACGAAGACAACACTACCCTCAACTCACCTCGTAAAAACCAAAATCTCTCCCACACAGGATACCTCGCCAGCACAGGATACCACAGGATACCACAGGATACCTCGCCAGCCATCACTTTTACCTATCCCATCCCATCCCCTACTGGGCAAGACCACGGCACAAACTCCTACAACCCTGACACCCTTGCCTGAGCAGACAATCTATACGTACGACGGCGCGATGCCGTACCCGGGCCGTACGGCGGATTCAGGCACTCCACATGGGCCACCGATGCGACGACAACAGCTGTCGTAGCGCCTGGTGACCGCGTGGAAGACGACAGGGAGGAGGACGAGCAGGCCGCAGCAGCTACAGCCGTCCTCGCCATTCTGCTCTTCATTAGTTCGCTGAGAGTCACCTGTCCAGGCAAGAAGCGCCCGCCACCGTACGGCACTGCTGCTTCCGTCGCCGCCGTCCCACTCGCTTCGTTGCTATCGCCATTACGGTTTGGTTGTGCACAGTCAGGTTTACCCTGCGGTCCATGGGCCCCCGTAATGCGACCTCAGGTCATCAAGTCGCGTGACCCAGATGAAAACATGAACAAATAAATAAATAAATGAATAATTGACCAAGCTCCAGTTACATAACGACGTGACCGAGATGACCCAGATCGTCACGCCGCCATTTAAACCAGGTCAACATACTGGGCTGGGTGAGGTTTATGTACGGATGATAGTTTTTTGGATCCCTTGAAACGGCGTTAATTCGTATTATGCAGTGACCCAGATCGCCAGAAGATCAGGTCAGAGTCTGGGCGGCTGAAAGGACAAGTCATTCGCTGTTTGTGTCGGAATGTGTGCGCCCTCTGAATTCGCGAGGAACCCATCACCGCTTAGCAAACCAGGAAAAGGGAAAACCCGGTCATTGATCGCGCCCAGAGCTTCATGATTGATTATACCGTTATTCACAAAAATAACGGTGCACACAGCGCCAGCAGACACGGACAGGTAGTCAATCCAACTTGCCTGCTTCCGTATGCGCCGGGACAGGATTTCTGTCATCAGGGCGGACTCCTGCGAAGGATGTTTGGTTCACTAGTTGTGATCCGTTGGGCGATAATATGGACACATGGCATGGATTCAAATCAGGGTAAGGGATGGCCGGTGCTGTGGGATACTTGCTGTGCATGCGTTCGCAAGCGAGCTAGTGCGCACGTACCGCCAGGCCACCCGGGTACTGTCGGAGCAGGTCCAATAGTTGTGCCATCACCTGTAAGGAGCAAGGGAGTTGGTGCACCTTTGGTGGCGGTTGGGCGAACCTCCGGCCATGCACACGCACCCATGTCCAAGTTACAGGTTTGCGCGGCCGGGCGCTCTTGCGAATCTGTGTAATTAGGAAAGCGGAAATGTAGGGTGTTTGATGGTCCATCAGCAATATCCCAGCCAGAGTGAAAGCCCCTATATTACCTGGCGGGTTCGCCTGTCCCCGGCATCCTCCTCCAGTTGTGTACCTCGTTCTTGCAAGAGGTGTAGTGCACGATGAGCTAAGCCATACATGTTTACTATTTTTACGCAAGGTGCGCGCTAGCGGCATAATCAGTGCCACATCTTCCCACTGAGCAATCCTACCTATCAGTAAGGCGAGTTCCGTAAAGCTTGCTGTTCAAAGCAATTGGCTTAAGCTCGTGCGCTGCGTATGACAGTATGGTCTATGGGCCGGGTCTGAACGTCTGTTGCTCGTCCGTATGCTGTCCGGTTTCAAATGTTGCCCACTCACCGCAGCATGACAACTTACACATGCGATATGTTCTATCAGGGCCAAGTGGCAAAACATATGCCATATTAATTATATCGTTTTGTAAGTATCTGTAAAGACTAACTCCTAAGAATGAGACCCTTGCTGCAACGACCGACTATGCGTGCTCGGCGGGATGCGTGTGTGATGACATGCCCATCTATTAGGCGAAATTTAGCTACTGCTACCTCGAATCGTGCTGCCGTTGCTGGCCCCAAACGGCTCGCTGCAAGCTTTGAGGACGCTATGGAGCCGCAATTTTCTCAAATTAATGAAAACCGAAGTCATGAAACAGACTTTGTTGTCATCGGCTCGGGAATAGGCGGTGAGCGTTCTAATGACCCGTTCGACCCCTAGGTCGTTGTCCTGACGCAACGCAAACAATCAAGCCGTCCCAGTGCACCTACGTGACCCGCTTTGCTTATACTTCATTTTTCTACTCGGTGTAGTGAAGGCTGTGTGACAACGACACAAGACATCCCACTAAGCCGAAACTCCGTTCCATTTACATCCGCCCGCGGTTTCCAGGGCTGTGCTGCGCTGCATTGCTCGCCAAGTACGGTTACAAGGTGACGGTGTGCGAATCACATTACTTGGCGGGTGAGGACTGGGCTCTTGGTACCTGGCTGATGGCTCTGGCAGTACAGAGTTTCTTGTGTTTTGTTTGTATGAGCAGCTATGAGCTAACATGTGAGCTAAAAGCAAATTCATAAACGCACATAAACCCACAACGAACAGCACAGCACAGCAGAAATCTCTGGTCGTCTATGAGTGGTAGCCCTGGGGGATAGAGACAGCCGCAGCTATTATCCACACACCCCGCCGCTGCTGGCACTGCTGCTGCTGCCGCAGCTGTTGCCGAAACTGCTATTGCTACTGCTGCCGCTGCTGTTGCATGACATTCTCCCCCCTCCTTCCCTCCGGCGCATCACTCTTTCCTTCTGGCATCACCTTCACTCGCTCGTGGTTCGTCTTCCCCCTCCCCCTCACCCCTCCCCCAGGCGGTGCCGCGCACTCGTTCGAGGTGGCGGGATACAAGTTCGACGCCGGTCCGTCCTTCTTCCTAGGTATCGGTGGACCCCCGGGAGATGGCAGCCCCAACCCCCTCAAGCAGGTGGGGGCAAACCAAACCCACTTTACTCCCCTCCACTCCCCCTGACTCTCATATGGGGAAGGACTTGTGTACGGTTGCGGTTGGTACGGACGCGCATGGCGTGTGGGGTTTAGATGGATCTCCTGGGATGGGTGGGGGTGAGGTTGGGTGGGGGGTGAGGCTGAGGTCGATATGAGGAGTGGCGGGGTCATGGGTGTTTGGGAATTATGGCCTGGGGGGGTGAAGGGTGAAGAGGTGTGTGCGTATGTGTATGGGCCGCGGCGGGATCCGGTTGTCGTGTTTTCTGTACTCTTACCCTGCGTCGCACCCCGCCCAAACCTGGCCCCGCAGTCGTCAGCCGTAGACCCGTTACTTGTTGTGTACAGCCCGGAAAACACCCCCTCCACGCACACACACGAGACAGACACACAGGCAAAAACACGCACAAGCACACGCACACACATACAGACACACACAGTCTCGTCCCACCGCGGCGCCCAGCCGCCGCATTGAGCTCTTCCCAGCTACTTTTCTCGCTCGTTCTCGCTCTCCCCCTCTCTCCCTCTTTCCTCCCTCCCTCAACCTCTCTGTTTCTCGCTCTCCCCCTCTCAATCGCTCCGGAACCGTCCGTGCACGCCTCACTTTTCAAATATCCTCAAAACCCATCTTTTCCCCAAATACCTGCTGTACGGCAAGTGGACAGGTGTTGGACGCTGTTGGAGAGCGCGTTGAGAGCAAGCAGTACGACAGGGTATGGCCAGGTTTCGGGGGTGCAACGATTGTGTGCGTGGTAGGCGTTTGTGGGACGCGGCAGATTTGGGTTGATGGGTTAGATGTGTGTATGTATGTACGCTTTGGATTAGGGGGATGAAATAAATGGGAGACGCGCGCATATGCGGCAGTAAAGGAATTTCAATCTTGCTACTACTGCAGTCGCTGCTGCCATTGCTGCTACTGCTACTGCTTTGTCCCCGTCACCTCCAAAGTTCGAAGTGCTCTCATCATCATCATCATCATCATCATGCATGCGGCCCCCCCTCTTGTGCACTCTTTCCTTGGCAGAAGCTTCACTCGTTCGTGGTTCGCCTTTTCTACATCCCCTTTCCCCCTCACCCTCAACCCCCTCAACCCCCTTCATCCCCCTCAACCCCCCCCTTGATACTCTCTTGCCCTGGCAGCAGCTTCAATCGTGTGTGGTTCGTCTTTCCCCTCAACCCCCCCGCCCCACCCCACCCACCTCCCACCCCCCTGTCCATACGCAGTGGATCGTCTACCCCCCGCCCGGGGGTGGCAGCTGCTTCCCCAACATAGCCAACGCAGCCGCCTACGAGCGCACCATTCTGCAGCAGGGGGGTCCTGAGGCGCTCAGGCAGTGGCGGGAGCTGGACAGAGCCATGGGGCCGCTGCAGGTTGGGGAGCGGTGGAGAGGGAGTGGGGTAGGGGGAAAGACGAACCACGTGAACGAGTGAAGCTGCTGACCAAGGAAAGAGTGTACCAGACGTAGAACTGACCGAAAGTGGAGTGGGGGAAACCCGGGCGCGTGTCTGTGTGTTTTGTATGTATGTATGTATGTACGTATTTGCGTGCTGTAATGAACGGAGTCGGGGGTAAGGACTGGAGAGGACGGCACGTGAGTAGCTTCACCGTGCGTGTGTGTATGTGTGTATGTTTTGGGGGGGGGTGCAGCCACGCGAGAATCGTGTGGGTTTGTGGAGGGCGGACTGACCGTACTGGCTCCCTCCATCCACCCCTCCATCCACCCCTCCATCTACCCCTCCATCCACTCCCTCCACTCTTTCCTTGGCAGCAGCTTCACTCGCTCGTAGTTCGTCTTTTCTAACCCACCATACATCCCACTCTTCATACACCCTACCTCCCTCCTCCTCCCCCTCCTCGCGGGTTTTAGGGTTTGTGGAGTGTATGGTGTACCGGTGAAGGAGTTGGAGATGAAGGGGCTCATGGCGCCCACCGGCCTCCCCATCCTCCTCTTCAGTCACATGCACTTTGCATACCTCTCTCACACAACACTACATACATACATATATACATACACGCTTGGTGGCAACCTCTACAACAAAGCCCATCTGAACACCAGCACGCCCATATCCACTCCACCCGCACAACCGCCCCATTTCTCTTCTCCTCTCAGAACCCCGGCTTCCCACTCATATAAACCCCACACCCCGTACCCCCAAAACCCCCTACCCCCCAAACCCCTTAAAACCTCACACACCCTACCCCACACACCCTACCCCACACACCCCTTCACGGCCCCCCCCCACCCCACCCCACCCCACCCCTTCACGGCCCCCCACACACACCCTACCCCACACACCCCTTCACGGCCCCCCACACACACCCTACCCCACACACCCCTTCACGGCCCCCCACACACACCCTACCCCACACACCCCTTCACGGCCCCCCCCCACACACCCATTAAAACCCCCACACCAGACCGCCGCGGGGCTGTTCCCCGCCGCCGCACTCCGGGGGGACCTGGGGGTGGCCCTCACCGCCGCCAGGTTCCTAGGGCCGGAGCTGCTGGGAACCGCCATTGTGGCACCAATGCTTACGGTACGACACAGTTCGGTACGGCATTGTACGACAGGGGGAATTGTGTGTAGGTTTTGTTTGTACGCGCGTCGCACGCCGCTCCGTATAGTGCCTTTTTCTCTTGAAAAAGGGGGTAGGAGGGAGTCCGTCCGTCCGTAAAGCGGCCCATAAGCTCCCTCCCCCCTCCCTCTCTTCCCCCTTCCCTACCCACCATCATTACGACCATCGCGGGTTTCTTTACGTTGGTGGGTTGGGCCCCCCCTCTTTTCCCCGAGCCCCTCCTTCAGGGCCCCTTCTCCGCCCTGGTTGACAAGCACGTGAGCCACCCCTGGCTGAGGTCCTTCATAGATCTCGAGGTGAGCCGGGAATGAAAAATAGCTAAGTATTGTTGTACAATTTAGGATTGCATCGTACGGCGAAACGCAATACCATATCTTGAAGGCGGTGTTTAACATTTGCGAGATGCTGGCTTCTCCTTCACCGTACTGCACGTCCGTACAGGTCTGTACAGCAAAAACGTTTTTCCGCATAGCGTGTCTGATGTGTAGCATTTACAAGAGAGACACATACACATGCACATACAGACGCACAAAAAGCAGAGAGAGAACCTACATGACTTGATTTGCTGTGCTTTTTTAAGGCCGTGCGCAATGTACCTTTCTAAAAACACATCTCCCCTCTCACTCCCTGTACGGCAAAACACGTGCCTGCCTCTCCCCCCCGAGCCCCCCTAAACACTCGTTTGTGGTTCGTCTTCCCCCCGTAAACACCCCACCATCCCTTATGCCTCGTGTACACCGACGCGGGTTGTTTTCTCCCCCCTTCATCCCCCCCCCAAAAAAACCCTTCCCCAAACCACGCAAACCCGCACGCTGCAGTGTTTTGTGTTGTCCGGTATGACCGCCCGGGACACGCTCTGTGCGGAAATGGCCTTCATGTTTTCGGAGCGCAATGCGGGCCGGTCCGCCATCGACTATCCGGTGCGTGTGGGCGTGAAGAGTGGGGGCCGGCGGGGGGTGGGTGGGGGTGGGTCTGTGTTGGGGTTAGTGAACTCGATTGTTGGCAGCTTGTTTGCTCGAAGCACAGACGAATGACGAAAAGAAAATACCATAGACGGATAGGGGTTATGGGTGTGTGTGTTGGGGGGAGGGGAAGGGGTTTGGTGCGTAAGCCTGGGGTTGGGTGGTTTAGGGGGTCATGTTCGGGGGGGCTAGGGGGTGGGAGGCTGGGAGGGTGGGCGATTACCTTGCCCGGAATGGGATGTAGTAGTGTGTATGTATGCCTCGTAGCCTTTTTGGATATGTGTTCACCTTCCTGTCTACCTTTCGAAACGTATGTCGAGAGAGCTGTATGTATGTATGTATGTATGTATGTATGTATGTATGTATGTATGTATGTATGTATGTATGTATGTATGTATGTATGTATGTATGTATGTATGTATGTATGTATGTATCTTGAGCAGATGGGTGGCAGTAAGGCCATCATCGATGCACTTGTACGGGGCGTGGAGAAGTACGGCGGACGGCTATTGCTCCGAAGCCACGTGGACGAGATCCTCATTGAAGGCGGCCGTGCGGCAGGTGTACGGCTGCGGCCGCCAGCGGCAGCGCCCTCAAATGGCAGCGGTGCTGACGGCGGCGGCGGCGGCGATGTCAGCCGCCGTAGCCTGGACGGTAGCGATGGCGCTACTGCCGGTCCTGGTGCTGGCCCTGTCGAAGTGATTCGTGCCCGATGCGGCGTGGTTAGTAATGCATCGGTGTGGGACACCCAACGGCTGCTGCCGGCGGGTGCTGCGCCAGCGGCGTGGGAGCGGAGCAGTACGGCAACGCCGGCGGTGAGTTCAAGAGGGGGGGGAGGCCGGGGGAGAGGAAGGGGAAACACCACAACTTATTCGTACATCGTGTGTCCCCCTAAGTGGAAATCGGCAACTGATGGGAGGAGAGGTAGAGGGGGCCTAAGAATTATTTATCGCATCCATCTTGTGCCGTTGACCGTTACCGTTTGACCGTTGCCGTTTCCCGCCCTCGACCACGAAATGTTTTATTCCTCTCCGTCATCGTCGTTACACTCCAACACAATATCTAACCAACTCCGGCGGTTAGTGGAAGATGGCGGGAAATGGATCGAGGAGGGGAAGGGTGGTGGTACTGCACCGTGTGTGTTTCCACGGATCCAGATCTAGATCTAGATCCAGATCTACACCGACGAATAAATCAGGTCAGATAACGATTGCCGTTGCATTTTTTCTTTTCAACCAACAACTACCAACGGCAATGCTACCTGGTTTGAATCCATACCGGCGTCGTTGCTCTTGTATATTCTCCAAACCAAACCCTCCTCCTTCCCCCCCCAACTCCACCCCAGTTCTACGTCTGGTACATTCTTTCCTTGACAGCACCTTCACTCGTTCGTGGTTCGTCTTTCCCCCCCGCACCCCCCACCCGGGTTTACTTCTGAGTCCCTCGCATTTGTTCCCCTCCCCCCCCCACCCCGCGAATGACAGTTGGACAGCTTCATGCACCTGCATCTGGGTATTGACGCCACCGGACTGGACCCCACTCTGGAGTGCCACCATCTGGTCGTTAACAACTGGCAACGGATCACGGAACCGCAGGTCAGGGAGAGGGGGTGCGGGTGTGCGTGTGCGGGTGTGGGTGTGTGAGAGAGAGAGAGAGAGTGTAGAGGGGGGGCGCCCGGGTCGGAAGAGGAGGGCGGCAACACCCAAGGTTATATCCTTCCTGTCATTTTATTTCCCCTGGAGGCGTCTATTCCTCTTCACATCGCTTACCTCGTTTTCCGCTTTCCTCTGTTTTCTCTAATTTTTAAAAAAACTATTTTAACGTGATTCTGAATGTTTTATTTTTCTCCCCACCTCCTCCTCCAGAATGTGATTATCGCCTCCGTGCCCACCGTGTTCGACCCCAGCCTGGCACCCGCTGGTGAGTCAGGGGGCGCCGACCCAGAGAGGGGAAGGAGGAAACGCCGATTAACATCATCATCATCATCATCATCATCGCCATCATCATCATCATCATCATCATCATCATCATTATCATCATTATCATCATTAGTGCCGTACCGCCCTTATAATTCGGGATCATCTCATTTTCTGCGTCGTCCATCATCACACTGGGAAATGTGTTATTGGTTTTCTGTTAACGGTTGTATCCTGATATTGGCGGTTTGGATTTCCGTTGGCGGTTTGTTTTCTCCGTCTCTGGGGGTTTGTTGCTTAGCCCACTCGCGGGTTTTGCCCCTACAGCGAATACTCCAAGGTTGCTCAGCTCTCCCCCCTCGCTGCCTCATGTGTATTGACCTTGTGGGCGGGCGCATACACAGTGGCCGAGATACGCCGTAAGGGCGCCTGTTACACGTCCACAGAAAGGACTCCCCGAACCAGCAGTTGTCCTAGTTGGCGATCGGATCCTTCCCTCGCCGCTGTGCAATCGAGTCCATCCCGAGCTGAGGCGCTCTCTGCGCCTCACTCCTCAATATTTTTTAATACAACTATAATAACTCCGAGACATGAAGCGTCAAATGCTTGACCTTGACCATCCAGCTATAGCCTCTAAGAATCTTCGCCTTATATAGATTCCTCATCTTGCCGTACCTCCATTGCAACCAATGCCGTACATCATTGTACGATGCCGGCGTGCTTTGCAGGCAAGGCCACAGTACACTGCTATTGCGCGGCCAACGAGCCGTACGATTTGTGGGCGGGTCTGGATCGTCGGAGTGCCCGGTATAAGGCCCTGAAGGAGGAGCGGGCTCAGCCTCTTTGGGAGGTGGGGCCGCAGGAGGCGGGGACAGGGGGTTTCGGAGTCGTGTCTCCACGGCCGTGTTAGCAGGCCGCTGCTCCGGTGTTAACGAACGTCAGAGAACGTCTTCCGTCATTTCGATTCAATTCGATTCTTCCTCCCATGGCCGCTCCGCTGCCTGGAATGCCCTATGGACAATACAGCCGCTCCGAAACCCAGTACTCACCTCCCTAACTAAGTGGAAACATCATTAAAATCGCAATAATTTAAAACCTCCGAAACCGGCAGGCTCTGGAGCGCTTCATTCCCGACATTCGATCTCGTACGGAGTTGACCTTGGTGGGCTCCCCGTTGACTCACGAACGTTTCCTCCGACGGCATCGGGGCTCGTACGGCCCTGGAATCAGCGCCTCTGGTGGACAGGTGCGACCGCTGCGGGGGGGCGTTGCTTCAACACTTCTTTTCAAGTGGTTGCGGCCACAGGATTTAATAGCGGCACGCAACTACCCTGGTGTGACTTGGTCAAACAATGTTATGAGTGTTACAATCAGCTATGGACAGTATGCTTTTTTGGTGTATTTTCTTCCGTCTTTCAGTTTTGTATTTTCAGGTCTACCCAGATGTTTACACTGATATTCTTGCTATACATATACTAATATATACTAATATATAATATAAATATGTAATATAATGTAATGTTATATACATACATCTATATATAAAAAGATTGTTTGCTTTCCTAATTTTTTTCTTCTTAAAACCCTCCCCTTTCGTCCCTTCCTCCCATCCGCAGTCCTGGCCCGGCCCTAAGACTCCCATCCCTGGACTTAGCGTCTGCGGGGACTCTTGTATGCCGGGTATTGGGGTGCCTGCCGCCGCCGCCTCGGGCATGATAGCGGCCAACTCGCTCGCGCCTGTATGGAGCCACCTCAACATGATGGATGAGCTACTGCCAGCTTCCACTTCTGCTTAAACCGTAATAAAACCGTGCTAAAACCTCCGAAACCCGGCGGCTGATGGCCACTTGCTTTATCACCGTCTTTGACATTACCGCCGATAATAATTAACTTTGTTGTTCATCTGTCGGCAATCGTGATGGACGTTGCTAACTCCTTGAACCAAAATGCATGAAGAACAACGCTCTTGAAGTCCTCGTGTAGAATGAGGAAAAAGAGAGGAGGAGAGAAAAAGAGGAGGAGAGAAAGAGAAGGAGAGAGAGATAGGTACGAGCGTCTTCAGGCGGGGAAGGGTCCTGTGCATGTGTGGCGGGAGAGGAACAGAAAAACGCTGGAAAGAAAAAGAAATTCGGACTCTGCGGAGGTGGAGGACTTGGTGTGATGCTGCTGCAGGTGTGCGTGTGTGTGTGTGTGTGTGTGTGAGAGAGAGAGAGAGAGCGTGTGTGTATATGCGTGCATATGTGTGAAAGGGTGAGAGAAAGCAAGGATGTCCTGGCGGCAAGTGAGACTGAGCGGAATGCTCAGTCGGGCTTGTAGGAATTCAAGCACAACACCGAGCACTCGGGTGCTTTACGACCTTATTAGCGGGGCTGCGAGTGGAGCGCCCTCCTTGGCGCGGAGGGGCCGTGGCGAGCGGTTGGGGTGATTGGTTGCTGTGGTGGTGGTGGGGTGCATCTCGTGAGAGTTAGAGAACGCGGGGTGAATGAGGAAAGAGAACAACTGTGAGAGGAGAGAAAGAGGAGAAAGAGGAGAGTAATGGAGGAAGTTCTGGTGCCCATGGCGCGTGGAAAAGGTCCCTTCTTTTCCCTGCACTGGTGTGTGAGTTTCGGAGCCCCGTTAGGGCATGATGTTTCCAACGCGTGTTTTAAGCACGTGTGTGTTGCCGCGTTTCTTTTAAAGGTCTGGAAGTGGACTTTGTGTAGACGTTTACCTAGGGATTTGAAATGGCTGTTACTGCTGTACTTGTTCTGTATACTCTGCATTTTGATGATTAGCGTATTGGATGGAGCACGTGACGCAATGCACTTGAGAGGTATTTGGAAAGGGGGATATGACACCGGCTGGCCCGTGTTTTCTCAGCCGATGCTGTCCAGCAGGGGGTCCTCGTACTGCAGGAGTGCGGTGAAGCGGTTTCGGAGGTTGGTTTCGGTGCAACAACGACAGCAACAACAGGTTTCGGAGCCATGTATGGAGGGTGTGGAGCCGCATGCCGACGGCGGCATTGTGGTCCTCATGCATGGTCGGGGTCGGGGTCGAGTGACAGGGAGGGAGAAGTTGAAGTCGGCAGGAAGGGAGTATCAATGAGTTGGCCGGAACAGACATAAGAGAAGTTGTTGCAAAGCTGAGTAGGCCTGCCTGCCAGGTATGTATGTCCGGCATAGGCGGAGGCTTCAGTGGTTCGCCGACGGCGGGAGAGGTTTATGCTCCCGGGAGGGCGCGGGAGGGAGGACGGTTGAGGGAGGGGGAAAACTGGCGGAATGAGGGGGGTTGGGAAAGCTGGCGAGGAGAGTGCCTTTTCCTTTCCGTTCCACGTGTGTTAGTGAATGCCGGTGTGTGCGTGTGTGTGTCTGTGTCTGTTGTTAGAAGCTGATACTGCTGCTGCTGCTGGCGAAGGTGCCCGTAACGAGACTAGGTGCCTGAGACTAGGTGCCTGAGACTAGGTGCCTGAGACTAGGTGCCTGAGACTAGGTGCCTGAGACTAGGTGCCTGAGACTAGGTGCCTGAGACCAGGTGCCTGAGACTAGGTGCCTGAGACTAGGTGCCTGAGACTAGGTGCCTGAGACTAGGTGCCTGAGACTAGGTGCCTGGGACTAGGTGCCTGAGACTAGGTGCCTGTAACTGGGGACTGTGCCAAAGCGGCGGTGGTGCGGTGCATGCGGTGTCGAGGATTGAGTAAGCGGAAATACGCCAGGTGCACTCGGAAGGGATGTACTGCACAGTTTTCTTCATTTGACCGCACAGTAACAATTGCCGTACAATGGCCGTACAGAGGGCAGCAATCAAAAGCTGCATGTGCTTTTCCCAGCTGTCGTTCTTCTGATACTGTTGATGTGCCTTGTAATATGAGTAGATCCAATGCTCTGCGAATCCCGAGCAGGCCCTTCTGCTTCTGCTGTTTCGGCTTTTCTTTTTACTCGTTTGTTCCTGTCATCCTTGTTTTTGTTACTCTTCAAACTTCTGTCAGGCTATCTGCGGCCCAGATTTGTGCTAGAGAGCGCGATCTGGCGCTGGCGTGCGCTGCATGATTAATAATGCATATGCCCTTTCAGGGCGCTAACTCCGGAAAGCAGTTTAAACCAGCTGCTGGTTGAGCGGCCCGCTCCCGTATCGATGTAAGCGACACCAAGTAGTGCTTCGTTGTTGTTAGTCATTATCCTTATTTCCGAGTTGATTTGATGTCAGGCTCGTGCAGGGGGAATCTGCTCTAGCTGATCCGCGCTTGTCCAGCTCTAGGAGACGCAGCTGATGGGGGATACGCTTTGGCAAGTGTGGCGAAAGCTCATGTTCGGTTTATGCTATTCAGGATTGGCTTTAAAACTCTGCCCTTTGGTTGTCAGCCGACTCTACATTTTCGGGCCTGGGGCCACGTGGCGGAAGCGAAGGGTTGACCGCTCTGGGTGGCCCCGAAAAGTCAAACAGGAATTATCAAGGACAAAGTTAGCGTAATCAGTCTAAAGATTATACCCACATCACATGCATCGCATACAGCAGCCCTCGGCGAAAACCAGTACCCGGATAGAAGACGAAGTCAACTCTCAAGGAAAGAGCTACGGGCACAGTTTTCAGCGGACATTCATCCCGGCAATCTGCTTGTCAATCCGTGGCGCTTACTGTTACCTAGCTGTTTGGGGCTTGTTCTTGGCCTTCTCACTTTGAAGCGCCCACCCCCAGCCGTACACCCAAAATTAAACATGACTGAATTAACAATAAGTTCGCGAAATAAAAGAAGCCAGTTTGAAAAACTACTTCTAGAAACTTGGTAACCATAATCGCTCCGTACTAATTTGACATTTCATACAATTTCAGCGACCAGGAAAAGTTTAATGGACGCCGCCGTAGCCAACAAGCTAACCAGTAAAAGTAGCGTCAGTGAGTGATGCATGTCTTTGAATACCTGATCCTGCTCTACACCGTTGTTCACTCGAATTATCCTGTAAATGAACACCCGCAGCTGAACTTCTGAAGTTCAGTATGGATGAGAAGAAGCCCCCCAAAAATATTTTCGAGGCCGCTCAACGCAACGATGCAGGTGCTTCTGTGCTTCGCGCAAGCGGCTGGACGTTTTCTTGATGAAGGACTTGGCTCGGCAACCGCTTCATGTCATTGTTAAATGGCTGCAGGGTACATTAAGAAGATTGCAGAAAGGACTCTCGACTTTAACGTAAATATGCGGGACCAACTTCAGAGGACTGCACTCCACTGGGCTGCAGAGCTTGGCAACATAGAAGCAGCTGAGCTTCTGATCGATTTTGGGATTGACGTTAAAGCCGTGGAGTGTAATGGCAGGTGGGGCCTGTACCTGCCTGAGCCTACTTGTTTGCCAAGCCCGAAGCCTTGCCTGTTTTAGTCTAAATTCATAGAAGATAAATATTGGGAGTCTTATTGGATGCCTAACCTCCCGCCTGCCGTATCTTCTCAAGCATACCGCCGACGCCCGTTTTAAAGGGTAGATGCGGCCTCAAGGGAATACAAGTGGTAGTACGTGGATATGGCCAACGGGGTTACCGGGTAACCGGGTGTTTTGTGTCTGGAGATGGCTTCCGTTGCTCGGGCTTTACGGCTGCCACCAGCGATCTCTGCCGTTTGAATCCCTTCACCTATCTTCTGTCTCTATACCCTCGCTGTATCAGGACCGCGGTGCACTTGGCCGCTCGCAGCGGGGATCGGGGGATGCTGGAGTGCATTATGGAGCTAATCTCTCCAGAGGAGCGAACTGAGATGATCAATCAGGCAGACAACTTTGGGGTAACGCCGTTGTATCTGGCACGGCAAAAGTAAGCGCGGCGGCTATGGGCAGGAGTTTGGTTTGGAGGCGAAGATGGGCCACCGTAGGAGTAAGGCGACGGTGAAAAGGAAGAGGAGCAGCGGAAAGGATTTGTTTGGCGATGGGGCATTTAATATCTTCCTCCTGACATGAAGGAATTGAGGACACCAAGTTCCACCTGTCTTCTTCGCGAAGACAACGTCAAAGCATGCACATGTTAAACACAGCAAAGCGCCGGAACCTCCCCCCGCGATCCTATTACTGCTGTCACCATTCTCTGGTATATAAGTGTCGGTCACTTTCCAACATATGTTAGCTTTATCCAGGTAAATTCCCATGTATTTTGGACTTGGATTTCCTATGTTTGTTTGCTCGCTTGATTGTTCGCGATGGCCAAACCCCCATGGGTCTGAATCACACCAGGGACAAGGATGGTCAAGACGCGTTCGAATACATGATCTTGAACGGGGGTCGCATCAACGAGGATGCAAAAAAGCCCGCGGTGACGACATCTGCGGCGTCGTGACGCTACTGCTACTGCTACTGTGTGCGGAAGTTAAGGCAATAGCATGGCGGCAGCGATAGGGGTCAGTTGGGCTGTAAACCCTAAGGAAGGGATGGGGGGATGGAGGGAAAGGATGGGAGGAAGGGGGGAGAGATCATGAGTGTTATCATGCAAATAACAAAGTTTCTGCTTGCTGGTGTCCTCCTCCGCGGTTTTCGCTGCCTCTACAAAGATATGTCTCGGTAGGGAACCTACCTACTGTTTGGAAGCTCCCCCCCCCCCCGGGTCCTTCGAGCACACAACATGATATCGGCAGACAACTCGGGGAGAGACACAAAGAGCAGGATTTGACTGTGGATCATTGCCGTACATTTACATTTGCTGGACAGGGCAAACAGCCCGGATGACGCGGCGGATGGAATGTAGTAGTAAAAAAAGACAGCGATGGCGCATATCGCTAATATGGTGGTAACTGTTCAGCGACCCACGTGTCGGCTGGAGGCGGTTCGTGTTGGGGTCGATCAACAAGCGCGGCGTTAGGTGTGCGCCGCCAGACAGTACAGAACACTCTCCCTACGTTTCGCCGTACGGATAAGGGGTTCATTCCGCACATGTACGGCACCGTGTACGGCACCATCAACCGACGGACGCGATGAATGTGGATTAAAAAAACAGTTGCATTGATTGCCGTCCCGCGGGTTCCCACCCATCCTATCCTTCAGCGGTGTCATATATCAATTCGGCGGGTGTCGAGTACATGACTTATTTCTTTTTTCTCATGACGTCGTCATGGCGACGAATGAGTCATGACGAGGGTTGCATTCGCACAGCATGCTGTATATGAGCAAATGCAGGGAGACGGGGCCGGACTGTACGGCGCCACCCGGGTATCGTTTTTTGCGATACCGCTGGTTTGCACACGTGCACTGAGCAGGGGGCTGAAAGGCGGTAGCTGTATGTGTTGGTTGTTCGTTGAATCATTTTATGTCGGGTGAGGAGCAAAAGGCCTCGTTCCACGTGCTGTCGACCGCCGGCATTGGAGCGAGGGTGATTACATGCCTCCTGTTTCGTAGGGCTGCTACTGCTGCTACTGCTGCTGCTGCTACTGCTGCTGCTTTCTGACCCGGAAATAGACCAATGATGTTTGTGAGTGCGATATTGGGGTCTATCTCGTACAAATTGCCGGACATGTGTACGTACGCACATTCGTACGTGCGTACATGGATGACAAAAGAACCGACGACATTTTGAATTATCGCAGTGACGACAATCATAGAAATTGGTGCGAGAATTGTTCGTACATATGTACAGCATCCATCCATCTAGCCGTCCATCCCGGTGCACCGACCGTTAGTTACCGTTACCCAACTGAATTGGATTCTCAAATGCCGGAATGAGCGTTAGGAGGTCGTACCGCCTAGCGTAAGACCCATCGAGGCCAATGTGCGCGCGTATGTGTGCGTGCGTGAGTAGGTGTGAGTGAGTGATAGTGTTTTGTTTGCTACCTTAAAATATCGTTGCTGGTGTGAACTCCGCGTCGCACACTAGGAGTGAGTGAGCGGTGTGGCGTGGATGATAGCCTTTTGCGTTGCTCCGCGACTGCCTGTCGGACTGCCTCAATCTCTTAACTTTGTTACAACCTGTTCGCATATAAATCGTGTGACAACACGCCCAAACACGTGACAATGGACATATACATTCATCTTTTATTGCTCTGCTGCTGCATGCACGAGACCTATTTTCCGATCCATTTCAAATTCCCTACCCTAGGCTACCTACTATCTAGATCTATCGTCTCTTTACCTACGTCTCTTCGATACGGACGATACCTGTCGAACTATCTAACTATTTCACAGAATTAAGGCGTCACCTTCGCTGTCGGATTGTGCAGTACAATTTATACAGCATTGTGCAGTACATGCTGTACGACACATGGATATTCCTCATTCATCCTATCACCTACTTAATCTTTTGCATCCATCTACCCACCAGATTTAGGGCAGATTGTCCATAAACCTTTTTCAGTGATCTTTATGTAGATTTTGTGCCTAAGTTTATACAAGAACTGGCTTTCAGCCTGTAAGCATTTATTACAGACGATAGCACCCTTCAGTAAAGTCAAATTCGTGTTGTATATATAACGTGTGTGATTGGTAATTGTGTGTCTTTTTTAAGGTCGTATTTAAGGCATCCATAATACTGTACAAGTATGTAACCCTACGCTATCGGAGAGTGGCTCTAAACTGTGGCTCCCCCATTCTAACTTTTGACTCACCGCCCTTTTCTCCCATGCCCCGCATCGAAACCCCCCTACCAGCTAGGTGCATTAACACCGCCAAACGTTACAGGTACATATCAAGCAACCCCCTCTTTACACACCCGCCGATGAGTTTCTTGTGCGGAAAGGGGGGTTGGTTTGGTGGGAGGGGCCCCACCCTGCATGCGGTCGGCATCGCGCGCGCTAATGCAGTTGTTGCCCCCCTACAACGCATGACCCCCCTGACCACCCCTTCTTCGCTGTATTAGTTGGTAGGGGGCCAGTAGGGCGGTTGGGCAGTGGTAGGTCTCTCTGTTTTTCCAGGAGGGAGTGGGTGGGAGGACGGGCGGGCTTCTGCGCGGGAGGGAAGCGATCGAACCTCACGATGGAGTAGCAGGATGCATAGCGGAGCTGCGGCAGTTGCAACAAAGGTCGCGACGAGGTCGCGATCACCGCCGAGATGCAAAGGCTCCTACGCAAGGCTCTTAGTCATAGTGAAACGCGAAGGTTTCCGCAGTCCGGCATAAAAAAAGCCGATATCGTTGCTTGTAGGAGGATGGTCGCGGCAAGGAAATGGATGTTCGAGTGGACGTTTAAGGCTTCAACAAAGCCACCCGTCCGAAGTTCTTCACACTACATATCTTTGCTGTACAATTGCTGTTGAGTGCACTTTCTCAAAATGCTGATGGCTGGGTACTTATTGCGTGAAAGTACATGTCATACATACGGACGAATGACGCATAACCGTACATGCGCTGCTTTTATCGCGATCCCTCCTGCCTTATGATGAAACAAATGCGAGACTACCTATGTGATGTACTGCGGTAGAGTGTTAAATAAATTTGCCAAAACGTAGTTTTCTTCTTACAGACAGCGATTCAGTCTTGGCCATCCAACCCTAACACAAACCTTCTTCCATTACTTTGCTTGGCGCATTGAGCAAACCATCCTGTGGACAGAAGCAACATTTTGTCTGGAGATACTGCTATGGAACATATTCGCATTTACGCATTTGCAACACATGGACCACGACAACTGCTTAACCTGTCATCACGTAAATTTACGCATAATGCAAGGTCGGTCAGCGCAACTGCAGACAATATTACCAGTCGTGTGCAGCGTGCACCGATGTTGATGCTTTCCGGGTTACAGGCCGCTAGTTAGATGAAAGCGATGGCGATTTCTCTTAATAAAAAATGGTTTACCTGATTGCAATCGATCAATGGAGATCGCAAACAACCGGCGTGAGAGCGACGATTTTACGTGCGCATCCATCTCCCGCTGGCTCTGTGTATTGTAGGGCATTGGGTGTGTACCCTATGTGTGCAATACGTTCTTATGCGTCCACTTTTGTTAGCTATCATTTGTGTTTGTCAGTTGTAGCCAAACGCTGAAGGTAATGCGACACGTCAACCTGGTTGGTTTTGTCACATCGCACATCTTTCCAGCCACCGATCTTCCCCGGTCCATAGCTTTGCAAACACCCAGGCAACCCACGTCAGCCAACCGCCGGGGCCAACATGCGCGCATGACCGCAGGGAAGCGTCCACGCCGAGAGCTTCGTCATCAACACGCGTCCGGCCTACCCGCTTTACTGTCAGCCCGGAACAGCGGCCGCGAGTGAGCGGTTTGACTGTAACAGCTACACCAGCAGCAGCATCTAAAAACGCTACTGTGGGTCCTAACACAAGGACACGCTCCGAAACCACTGACAGCTGCCAACGCGCACCGTCAGCGCCGCGAAATCCGCCGTCGAGCACCGTCGCCTCCGCCTCCGCCGCAACCTCGCCTCCGCCTGCTGCTGCTACTGCTACTGCAGCGGCTCCGTCGTCGTTGGATCTTAACCGTGCCCTCGTCATTGCCTTGGCGGAACAGGTAGCGCCAATAATGTAGCTCTGTAGCAGCTACACGCACGCTTAACGACGCTAGCTAAGGAAAAGCCTTGCAAAGCGAAACGCATGGCGATGGGGGCTTGGAGCTGCTTACCCTACAGCATTTCCGTTGGCCGAACGTACATCGAGATACCCAGCCGTTAGTCACATGACGCCTGACCAACGAACATACAACTGACAACGGCGAAACATGAACACGTTCTGTCCCTCCACAATGCGCTCTGTAGTTCAAAAGAGAAAGCCTGCCTTGGATCCAGGATCTTGTCGTACCATTATTTGAAGGTCCACCGCCGCCGTTAACAGGTGAGGGCATTGACAGCCTGGCGGACCCTCATCATCACCAACCACCTCCTACCCAGCCCTGGCTAACCATTAACCACCAACCGCCCGTTTCCTGCGGTGCACCAAGCGGTTATTTCAGTCCAATTTCACGCCGTACTCTCAACGACCTTAACCTCTTAACGAACTACCCGTCAGGCGCCTTCAGGCCAGACATCGGCAAAAGCGCTATTTCTGGTTTCGGGAACGGGTCTATTTCTATCTTCCAGTACAATTTCTGTTACAAGGCCGCGGAATGAAAAAATGCATTTTTTGCAATAGTTTGACATTCGTGTACGGCGTACGTTCCTATTCCTGCACTGCAAGCCGGCCGGCTTCGGGAACTCTGTTTTCGGCACGACCCGAAACTCCCGAAGCGTTTGCCGATGTCTGCTTTTCAGGCGCAAAAGGCGGTGAGACGACGGATATGCATGTGCATATGCGTGTATTTGTCGTACAAGCACGTGTTCATGCTATGGCCGTGTGCCAAACAGACAAACAGAAGCAAGAAGAGCATCTGCAGCAACATAAAGAGTCACGAGTATATTCCCATGAACCATGGTTTTACCAGTTTTTTAAAAAGCAAAGCTACGACCACTAAAGCGCAGCGCAGTGCAGTGAATGCGCACATTGTGCGTGTGTCATTTTTTTGTGGTTTCGTAGACACGGAGCCACCAGAGCAGTTAGCTGACCGAGACAGTCGCTTCCTAACCGTCAACGGTATACGACTGCATTACAAGATGGCACTGCCCGGCGAGAGAGAGGGTCCCGCGGCGGCAGCGGGGGCAGTGGCTGCAACGAATCGTACACCACCCGCGGGGGCGTGGACGACAGCGGCTCCATCACCTACCTTCACGGCCTCCTCCCCCTCCTCCTCCTCATCATCATCATCAGCAGCAGCAGTAAACACAATAACATCAACACCAGGAGCAGCAGCAGCAGCAGCAGCAGCCACAGAATCCAATTCTTGGGTCTCGCAGCGGCCGTCATTTGATGGGAGTTCTAGATTGCGTCTGCCGGAGGATTCGAACCTGGGTAGACCCAACCCCGGCGCGAGTCTCACACTGCTGCTACTGCACGGGCTGAACGGGTCGACCTTCAACTGGTAGGTTTCGTAAACCCCCTAAGAGACGACGAGCGTTGGGACGACTCTGATTGTTGGGACCCGTTTCTGGCGTCCAAATTCATCGACTACTATGTATGACAGCGAGTGTACGGCACGTGTACGGCTAACGAATGGTGCTAGCGAACTTACGGCACGTGGCACACGCGGTGGTGCAGTCGCGTGCGGGTAAACACCAAACACCATTATGTAATTCGGTCAAAACATGTTTTCACTGTTTCAGGGTGTTGAATTCGGACATTCGGAAATTCGGAAATGCAGATGGTGGTTGTTATCCGGGGGATCGACCATGTGTGTGTATGAGAAAGGGGGGGGGTCCGCACAGGTACAGACTAGGGCATGTAGTTGGAGGTTTCAATGTCTGCAGATTGCCATCGCAGTAATAGTATGAACTTTGAGGAAATATAGTAAATATAGTTTTTCGCGTATTTTAGGAAGCGCCTCGATGTATGTACTGCTAATTAATTAATCTGAGCCGCGATACAAAATACATATCGACGTATGCGCGTGATCATCCATCTCTTCATGGGATCTTATGATAACGTTTTCAAAGTTTGAAGAATGATTTTTTAGTACGTTTAAACATGTTCCGTCGTGTCGTTGTGTGCATGGATGTACGGCAGGCGGCTGCTGATGGACGACCTCGCGGCGTACGTCAGTCCAGCTACGGGCGGCTGTCGGGTCGTGGCGTACGACAGACCTCCGTACGGCCTGAGCCAGCGGCCGCTGACGTGGCAGCGTGAAGAGGATAATCCGTACACGTTGGAGGGGGGTGAGTTGGAACTGTTGCGGCCGTACACCGCAACCGTACAGCCATGCACCTAATGCACCCATTCCAAGTCTTACCTCCATAATAATTCATTCATGCACCTCATGCATTCATTCATGCACCTCATGCAAAACCCATCCATTCATTCATGCACCTCATGCAAAACCCATCCATTCATTCATGCACCTCATGCAAAACCCATCCATTCATTCATGCACCTCATGCAAAACCCATCCATTCATTCATGCACCTCATGCAAAACCCATCCATTCATTCATGCACCTCATGCACCCGTGCATGCATGCAGGCGCACGGTTGGCCGCGGGGCTACTGGACGCGCTCCTGGGCCCCTCCTGGGAACACTGGGAAGCCCCCTCCCCATCGCCAGTACCGAGGGCGCAAGCTGCCCCTGAGAGGAAGGAACAGAGAGCCGCCGGCCAGAAGGCGCCACTACATCAGGGGCCGGGAAACGCCGCCAGCGGCAGCAACAGAAGCAGCAGTTGCGGCACTAGCACTAGTAGTAGCAGTAGCAGCAGCAGCAGTGGCAGCAGTAGCAGCGGTGGCGATAGGGTCGTACTGGTGGGGCATTCGGCGGGTGCAGCTGTGGCGGTGGAAACAGCGCTGAGGTACCCCCGGGGGAGGAGGGGGAGGGGGAGGGAAAGGGATAATGCTGTGCGTGTCGGGGGGTTGTGGCGGGTGGGGCCGGGTGTGTGTGGGGGAGGTGCTTTGGTGGTGGTGGCGGGGGGAAAATTGCGGGTGATGAATGTGTCGCTGCTGAGATGCGCGCGGAGGGCCCCTAGGTGCCTGGATGCCTGGGGCACAGGCTTGTGTTCCCTAGTTCTGGTTAAGTTTGCATCAACCGTTGCATTCATGGTCGGATAGATTACTGTTACCCCCCTAACCGTCAACCGTCAACCAACCGGAATCTTTTAACTGGCTGTCCTTGTATCGGTCGCCGCCACCTACCTGGGTGTCCAAATATACGACATAAACGCTCCTTCCGTACGGTCGTACATTTACCCAGGTACCCAGAGCGGATTTGCGGTCTGGTGCTAATAGCGCCCGCCATTTCCACAGATCCCTGGTACGTGTACGTGTGTACGGCGACATGTACATCCACCGCCGTGCGCGATCAACCAGACGCTTCTTCTTATATGTTTTTGCTCGAATGCAGAGGATATAGTTACAAGTTACAAGTGCCGCACGAGTGCGGGGGTTCCGTCAAAGCCGGGAGGCCATGGACTATATATATTGAAAGTTGATTACACCGTACGACCGACGGCGGTTTGGGTCCTGTATGTATGTATGTGTGTGTGTGTGTAGGCTTCACTTGTTATGACGTAGTATAACAAAAAATAAAGGTAGCGAAGCCATCATTCTTCTCCTTTCCAATTAAAACCTTCCTTCACTTTACCGAACGTTTTTTTGACTTATTTTAAGCAAATTCTCTCCGTATCCTTTTCTCAGGCCCCGCCCATTTAGGCGGCGGCGTGGCGTCTGTCAGCCTCAATCAGCTACAGCCTAATAGCTGGCTCGGCCGCTTTTCTGACCCCCCCCACCCACCACACCCCGCGAATATTACTGACGGCACAGGGCAGGCGCAACTAGGCTTGATGTATCACAACTGCACATGCCCTCACGTGCCCTCACGTGCCCTCACATGCCCTTACATGACGTACATCTCCGTACAGGGGCTTTCTGGCGAGGGCGGATTTTGGTCAGTTGCTTCGCTTCGCCTGGACCCGAGCACTGCTGTCAGGTACGGCACGTCGTGGTGCCGGGGGGGCCGTTTGGGGCACTGCCTGTGTGTGTGTGTGTGTGTATGCTCGCGCGTGTGTGTGGGGGGGTATGTGTGTGTGTGTGTGGGGGGGGGGGTATGTGGGTGAATAGCTGGATGGGCGGATGCAGTCGGATGATAGTTCAGTCGACTGCTGTCTGGGCATCTTCGGAAAGGCAGCTGGGGCGGATTGTGCCCCAACAAGCCGCATCGCTGCCGGTGTTGGTGGTGAGGGGCGGGGCGGGGCGGGGGGGAGGGCAGCGTATGAAAAACACTCCATTCGCTTCCCCGCCGCGTGTCTGCTGCCACCTGGCCACCTGTCCTTTCACCACCACCATTACCACCATACCCGCACGCTCGTATGTACGACCACACTTGCAGGTACGCGTGGGGCCGTGCAACAGCGCAAGTAGCAAATGTTGGCGGCTAGGGCTAAGTAGCGCCTAATTAGGGTATGTCGGGCGGCGCACTCTGTGGAGCAGCCTGGTGTGTGCCATTTTCACGACTGTCAATAGTATATTCCTTTCAGGATTATAATACTCCTATATATGTGTATGTGTATATATATATATATATATTCTCGGGACGGAGCCGAATATAGGATTATGGATCCAGGGGTGATTTTCGGATCCGTCCTGAGAAGTGTACGACGATCCCGTAAGTGTACACTCATCCTGCCTGTTTCATCCTTTTGCGTCAAAGAATGTTTGTCTGTATGTATGTATGATGCCAAGATGTCCATAAAGTTCGTACATATGTGTGGTGTACATACATGCTTCGGTTGCTTGTCGCAGCGGATGGTCCCGGATTGAACTACGTACGGAGACAGGTACGTACGTACGAATGTTCCGGCGAGGGTGATTATTCCGTACATGGATATCGTAATGTGTGGCCCTCCGTACCGGAGGGCTCCTGCTGCTGCTAGCTTTCTCGTACTGCGTGTACCTCGTACGGCCTCCGTGTCGTTTTATTTAGTTTAACAAAATTAAACTAGTCACTTAAGCCTTTCTAATATTGTTCGTATCTTGCTAATGTTGTTCGTATCTTGCTAATATTGTTCGTACCTTGCGTGTGCTTTATTGCGGCAGCGGCAGCAGCTGTAGGTGTCGGTGAGCATGTGAGCTCGTGGATGATGATGCATGACTGCTGTCGCACGTACATGTACTACTGTACGAATGTTGACGTTGATTACACTATGGGCTGAAAAGCCGGGGGCCCAGGTCCGAAACACAGCGCGGGGGGCGGGTGCACATGGCTGGTTAGTCTCATGCACTCCGCCCCCGGGTCAGGCCGCACGGGAAACGACGGCCGGCACACAACAGCGCTCGTACGTATGTATGTGCTTGCAGGTATTGAAGCGTAAGGCCGAGCTGGAGGAGGGGCGCCTGGGCGTGTATCTGGACGAGCGTGAGGTGCCGCAGGAGGTACGAACATGTGTACGGACAAACGTACGGGCAGAGCACGTACGATTGACTGACCGACGTACCAATAACGAGGAGGAGACTCCGCCCTTGCCACCGCACACTACCGTACACGGAACTATCCAATTTTACTACTGCTGCTCATAACGTTTGCTACTGCTGTCGCTACTGCTGCTATTGCTACTGCTGCTACAGATTATCGACGGCTATCTTCGCCCCCTCCGAGCGCACGACTGGGACAGAGGCACCTTGCTCGTGTACCGCTCGCTTCAGGTAGTAGGTGTGGGTGATGGTGGTGGTGCTGCTGCGTGGTGGTGGTGGGCATTATGATTTTAATGCACATGCATCTGAGCCTGCAGCCATCTTAACCTTAAGCCTTTATCAAACCCGGCCACCCTCTCAGCCGAATTAAACCGAATTAAACCTTATATATATGTATATATATGTATATATACATATATTTGTACTAATTAAACCTTAATTAGTACATATATATATATATATTTTTTTTTTTGTTTTATTTATTTTTATTTATTTTTAATCCATCAATGCATCTAACCTCATCCAAACGTACCATCCATAAATAGTATTTAATTTTTGTAAAATGCATATTACATATTTTATACTGTATAATATATAATACATATTGTAACTCATAATATTATAAAAAAATATATATTTTGTTTCATAAATATATATCTTTAATATAAATTATGGACATAATAAGTAAAATATTAATAATCTCTTTGTCTCTTACATAATCTAATCCGTCCGATCCGTGACGGCGGTCAATTGACCACCGGCTCCTTGGCAGGTGTCCGGCGCCCCCCTCCCCCTGGAGCGCCTCAGAGTGCCCGTACTAATAGTCCAGGGAAGGGAGGACCGTACGGTGCCGCTGGAGACGGCACAGGCGGTGGAGGCGGCGCTGCGGCGGCGGCCAGGGCCAGGTGCGTGTGTGTGGTGCTGATTAGTGTTGGCGGCTGGTGGGCGGCTCAGCGATGTTCTTGGTGCGTTGTGTGAGTTTGTTTGTTGTTTTGTTTACTTGTTTGTGTTGACATGTGTTCGCTTGTGTGAAGACGTGTAACGAAGTATGTAAAAGTAACGCACGGGTGTGGTCTGTGTTTGTGTTTGTGTTTGTGTTTGTGTTTGTGTTTGTGTTTGTGTTTGTGTTTGTGTTTGTGTTTGTGTTTGTGTTTGTGTTTGTGTGTGTGTTTGTATGTGTGTGTGTTTGTATGTTTGTATGTGTGTGTGTGTTACACCCGCTGCTTGTACGAGCAGTGAGCGGTCCCGCCTTAACGAACCGAGGGGCTCCTGGGCGACATTCGTGGGGTACGACATCGGGAAGGCGAAGGAAGAGCTCAGACAGTGAGATCTTCCAAGGTAGGTGGGAATTAAGGAGTGCCTGTAACCTTGTATGTATGCGTATCTGTATCAGCAGGTGCCGTAACGGAGATGGTCGTACTGGAGGGCTGCGCCCACGTGCCTATGGACGAGCAACCGTTGAAAGTGCTGGCGGCCATAACGGATTTCGTCAACCGCCACTGCTGCGGCTAGCTAAACTTCCCCTCCTAACTCTCTCCAAACTCCAAGAGCAGAGCTAGCTATTCTTGAGCATAATATTGGCTCTAGAAATTCGCAGCAGTGAGTAGCTCTGCTGGGCTGTTACGGCCCACGAGTATGCAACCCTGGTGTCGGATAGGCGCAGCAAAAGCAGCGCGCAGCCGCCGCAGCAGTGGCAGGTGTATAAGTACTAGGCGTGCCCATACTGCCGTACATGCCCGCTACTGCCGTACCAGGCTGCCCACGGCTGTCTGTATGTTCCTGTGCAGATGGATAGCTTTTGTTTGACATTCTTGAATGCCATCCATAAATCTGAAGTGCGCTTTCGTAAAATGATTATTTAATATCTGTACCGATTCGTTTGCTTGTTTGTTTGTATGTCTGTGAGCACGAGGCTGCAAACTGTTTGGCTAGCTGCCATTTGCCTTTGAAAACTGCGTTTCTTCTTTTTAGAAGGGCACCTTAAAGCGCCCATCCACATGTGATATGAGGTATAGCTAACTGCTGCTGGGCGCGAGAGTTTCTTGTTGATTCTGGGATTTCTAGATTGTGCATCACAAGGTTGAGCTGGCGTACGCAGCATTATGTTGAATACCCACAAAGCGGTTTATGGCGTTGCGTTGGCCGGAGGTCGCAGCTTTGTGTTCATGAGGGTGCCGATGGCTTCAGCGACAGCAACATGCGCGAGGAGCGAGAGAGAGAGAGAGAGTTCCGCGCAATCTTCCATTAGGGTTCCCTTGCTTGCTGACAACGTATAGCGGATAGATTAGAATTTATATAATCCTATGGGCTGTTGGGAGTGTAGGGAGGCGTGTGGCGCAACCTAATTTGATTGATGGATGGTAAGCATTTGTAAACTGAACAGAACGTAACCATCATTAATTTAAGCTGTTGGCTGTCACAAAAATGTCACAAACGAGCATCTATTTACAGAATATAAGGACGCTGCTATGCTATAGCGTGCGCACATGAAAGGTGTGTTCGCGAGCGGCGTTGTCGGCAATTCCACCGACTTTTCCTCGCAGTTATACGAGGACAGGGTTGCTTGCAAGGCTGCATGTGGTCCGTGCGGACCTACGCTTGCGTAGGATGACTCCCAAACCCTAGGTGTGCCAGAGAGATATTTGTGGCAAGTATAGTTGGTGTGAAATGTTCATTACAGCACCCTTAGCAAGGCAGCCAACATTCGCGCATCCAAGAGCTGGAGGTGCTTGCTGAACTGCTACCTGAGATCCAGTGGCATCATCGAAGGGAGATAAGATCGAAGGCTTCTACGTGCTATTGAAGAGGTGGCTGACATTCAGTGATGGCAGCTGCTGAACGACCTGGTGATGTTGCGTACGGTATGTGTCATACAGTTGCAATCCCGGTTCTGATAGATGAGACATTTGCACAGCCTTTTAATGGTCTATGCATTACGTTATCTGGCTTCATGTAATCTGCATACGCACCTGACCCAAGGTGGTACAGGTTGAAGTCCTAATACTTGCCGCAATCAACGAAGTTTCTTGCACTGCCGCAACCATAGTCTGTATAGTGATCCGTGACATTCTAATCCACACCTAGAAACTGATTAAGTTCCTGCCGTCTGAGCCTCAGCCTTGTGCATTCAGCGAATGGCCTACTTGCGGTTGCTGCGGCAAACGGATCTTCGGACAATTCAGGTATTATCACTTCTCTTACCTTAAAGTATTACTACAAGCGATCTGTGCCGGAGACCCATTGCGCGGTTTGTTCCGGCAAACGATTGGCCAAGTATGCTTGCTTGAGTCCCTGAACTTTTGATTACAACCCGGCCCGCGGGCTCGCCAAATGTCATTATCATAACTCTGTGCAACAATATGGAGAACATTACATCTCGCTATTAACGCTGTCTCGTAGATACGATGATCATTTCCTCACCCCGCGTCAACTTCACGCCTATCGGCATCCGCTTGCATGCCAACATATCTTTCTGATCGCCACATCAACCCGCGTACAGTCACGACGCATGATCGCATTTGTCTAAAAAAATCCGTGCCGGTGCCGCTGCCACCCCAGGTCCATTCCCTCCCTCCCTCGCCCCAAACCTTCATTTCCCCTACACGTTTCCTCCAGCCTTCCAGCCTTCCAGCCGCCTGATCTCAAACCCCTCTACGACCTCTACCACTTTAAGCATGTGTTCCTTTAAAATTACCTCCATCCATAGCTAGACAAGAGTCGCAGAGACCATTCTACTCATTTAATCTATATGATACTTCTTTGAGACTTTTTTCGTCTGCACGGCGGTAAAGTAAAATGTCGTTGAAACCCCAGTAGTTCTGCTCTACCTCCGCCCCCACCCCACCCCAATCCACTCTACTCTGCGTAGAATTCATATGTGGACCTCTTCCAGTTACAAGCTCCTTCTCGTAGAGCTCTGGAGGATGCGCTAGCGTCCAAAAGGTGATGAGGGAGATGATAATGGGGGGAGAGTTGGAGCCGGATGAACGCGGTCCGGGGGGTTACGAAGCGGTTGCTGGCGGTTTAAAGACCGTTGGTGGGGATACACCTCTATCCTCCTCCTCCACTCTCCATGTTGCAACAACCGGCGCCTCCCCCCCAAGCATCCCCACTTACCCCCGGGTTACCACCGCAACCCCCCGGGGTTACCCCTCCCCTCCCTGGATCTATCCCCAGGTGGCTGTGTTTGGCGGCTGTGTCCCCCGACCCCGCGCAACCCCCCGGTCGTCAGGAGTATATGGCCGGATTCGTCATGTCGGTTGTGGCCACAGTGGAAGACTTCCATACGGACTTGGTGGGAGGGGGGTTGGGGCTGATAGTGGCTGATAGTTCGGGGGGCTTGTTTTTTACAGGGACTTAAGAACACCCGGTTGCGGTAAGGTGTAAATGTTCCTATTTAGGTTTTGTTGATATGCACGTGGATATGTGAATGGATACCGGGAACTAGAGGGGAGGCGGGGGGGTGGTAGGGGTTGTGGGGGCCTGGCGGGACGTAGGGAGACGTAGAGGCGGCTGCTGGATGTGTGTGTATGTGTTTGTATGTGTGTGTATGTGTGTGTAGGCCGTGTGTGAAAGTTACAAGTATGTCTGTGTGTGTATGTGTGTTTCATTTCCTAAAGTCTTTACTGTTTTCCCAACGGCTCAATATCTTTTTCCTCTCCCATTATTGTCCCGCTCTCTCTTTCTTTCGGCGTGCTTTGTTCGCGCGCGTGTCGACCCATAGAACTACTACAGCGGAGGAGCTGAACCTGGCGGCAGTAGCGGCGGTGGCGGCGGTGGCGGCAGTAGCGGCGGTGGTGTGGGTGTTCAAGCTGTTGGCTTGGAGCTGGTGGACCTGCCTTTGCGGGAGCGGGCCGTCAACATTTGCGTCTTGGTACGTCGTACAGTGCCTGAATTATGCATATTATGTAATGTTTATTATAATATAATACAATTTGGTCGACTGGTTTCGTGCCTGAGTACAAATCCTGAAAAACATCTAGGGAATGTGCGGGTTTTACGTAATGTACGAACAGATTTACGAACTCATCTGCGTCCTGTGCTTAATGCAATTACATACGTACATACATCAGCTTTAGACGGGTGTGGCTGCCCTGCCCGGTCATAACCGGGTGCCGGTCAAGGAGAGGGCTTCATGCGCCGTCCGGATAAGTCTGTACTTTGTTTTTTTTCTGTTGAGCCTAACGGCACCTTCCAATACGGTGCTAACAGTACGGATTGTGTGTACGACGCAGGGTGTACTGCCGTCGTACCGCCATCGTGGCCTAGCGCGCCTCATGCTTCGACAAGTTGTGGACAGCGCCAGGACTGCAAGGTAAGAGGAGGAGGATGGCGAGGAGGATAGGAGAGTGGTGAATTGTTTGGAAGTCTTTAACTGATGTGGTGGTTGAAAAGTGTCGTACAATGCCGTAAAGTCAACCCCTGGACGGGGAAATGACGGTAATTTGCCCCGGAGTTCCGTTGTACACATGATGCAGCGAGAAACATTTGTTTCGTTGCGGAGCGTGCGTCTGTATGTTGCGCTCACAAAACTTAAAAGTGGTTATTATTGATGCTACAGCCCTTTCGAATATGTGCCCCAGGACCTGTTACCCGGTGCCTGGTAAGCTACACTCCCCCGGCCCCATGTTACCGTTGCGCGGTTAAGCTATCTATCTACTTCGTGCCTATCTACCTGCTTCGTGCACCAGATGCAACATTGTTACTTAGTTAAGCTATTACGCTATTGTGCAACAATGGCCGCAGCGCATGTGCGGTCTTTCTCCATGTACGACCTTCCAACACAGCGGCCCTGGCACTGTACGAGTCGGCCGGCTTCGTGGCGACGGCGCTACTGCCAGATTATTACGGCAATAGCGAGGACGCTGTCGCCGCCGCCGCCACTGGCAGCAGCAGCAGCGGCGGCGGCGGCGGCGGCGGTATCTATGGCGGCGGCGGTGATGGACGAGCCGGGACCCCAATCAACGGTCCCAGAACAGCCGGCGGCGATGCCGTACTGCTGGTTTTGCCGCTGACGGAAGCTGCAGCAGCGGCGGTGAAAGTAGCCGCAGCGGCGGCGAAGGACCTGGTTGAAGCGGCGGTGGCGGCAGCATGCAGCAGAGCTACCGTCGTTCCCGTCGCCGGTGGCAGCGATGGCACGGTACAGAGCGGGGCGTTACCAGGTACGGCAAAGTTTCACCTCTGTACGATAAGTCTCGCTCTCGGGTTGCAATGATTGCGCCTGAAAAACAAATGAAGATAAATTCTTTTTATGACTGACTTCCCTCATTCAAACCAGCTCATCAACACATTGGATGTCTTCGTTTGTGTGATAGCAAAACATACTAAACGGTAGCTGTAGCAGCAGCTGTAGCAGTCATAGCAGCTGTAGCAGTCACAGCAGCTGTAGCAGTCACAGCAGCTGTAGCAGTCACAGCAGCTGTAGCAGTCACAGCAGCTGTAGCAGTCACAGCAGCTGTAGCAGTCATAGCAGCTGTAGCAGTCATAGCAGCTGTAGCAGTCATAGCAGCTGTAGCAGTCATAGCAGCTGTAGCAGTCATAGCAGCTGTAGAAATTTCACGTCCAACAGATCTATTCGATTCTCACGTGTTTCCATGCATCCGGCCCCCGTGGGTTGCACCTTTCCAAGGTGTATCTGCTCCCGCCACCGCTGCAGCATCAAGTACTGTTGCCGCCGCCGCCGCCGCCGCGCCAGATACTTCTTCTTCCTCGTCCACACGTACCTCCGGCACCGGAAGCCGCGACACCGGAAGCCGCTTTGTGGGCCGCGGCCCCTTCGCTGACGGAGTCACCTCCTCGTACACCAACCGCTCAACCACCTCGACAACTACCCCAACGACTATCCCCAACGGCCCCGCAGCCGTCGCCCCAACCACAACCAGCGGTGAAGGTGGCGCTGACGGAGCCGGGGGGGCCGGGGCTGGCGGCGATGCCACAAGCGGCCGAAAAGCCGGCGTCGGCGGCCTGTTGGGCATCCTGGCGGCAGCGGCGGCGAGTGCCGTCGACGGCTTGACGGGGCTGCTGCCGGGCGGAGCCCGCCAGGGAGGGCGAGGCGGCGGCGGTGGCGGCGGGGCGATTCCGACGGGTCGAGAGGTGCAGCTCGGCGGCGAGGTACTGCTGGAGGAGCGCGGTACGGACGGCGAAGTGTACTTGCGTGGGCAGGAGGGCGGGGCGGAAGGAGCTGGGGACGAAAGGGTTTGCAGCCTAGAGGACGTCGCGGCGACGGTTGCTTCTGTACCGAGCACTAGTGCCGCCGCTGCCGCCGCCGCCTTCGCCGGTGCAGTGGATGCGGACAGGAAAGGGGAAGGCGTCAGCACTGGCGGCGGCGGCGGTGGCGGTGGGGTGACGGCGGCGGGGCTAACAGAGCAGGACGCCGCGCGTGGTGACGGCGGGGCGGGGCAACAGGAATCTCAAGAACAGGAACAGCAACAGCAACAACTACAACAGGATCAGCAACAGGATCATCATCATCATCAGCAGCAGCAGCAGGCCACCACTACGTGCCGTGTATTAGGGGGCCCCGCTGGGTTGAATAGCGGCACGAGGAGGATGTGGTTGGCGGTGCCGCCGCAGGGACCAGCGTCAGCCGGGACAGGGGCGTGGCCCGCAGTTGTGTGTGGTGGCAGGGGTGCGGCAGGGGCGCGCGCGGGCGGGGGCAGCCTTGTTTGGGGGCCCTTCGGAGCGCGAGGTGGGCAGCGGGAGCAGCAGGGGCGAGGGGAGCGGCGGCGACTGTTCGCGGTGCGAGCCGGGGCCGCTGCTGGGTTCGGGCGGCTGAGGGTGGCAAGGGGATCGGCAGGTTTGGGAGCTGCGCAAAGACGCGGCGGCTTGCTGCGGGTAGTGCTGTAGAAATGTTCGGATCTTTTTTCGGATTGTGCAAGTTGTTGTGTGCGTGCGCGTGGTCGAATGAGGAAACGTTTTTAGTTCAAAATTCAGCTTGGCGAAATGGTAGAACGTGTTTCTATGCTTTTACTGTGATGCGTTCTGGATTGGTCAAACTAATGTGCAATAAGTTCCAAGAAACATATTAATGTGTCCTGCAAGTCTCCGTCTTGCTGTATTTATGACGGGTGGTCAACGACTGCTAGCTGCGAGACCTGGAGGAGTCACTATTACGGGGACGTATTAACGATAGGTCGCTAAATTAAACTCCGACCGGCTTCCCTCTCTACACAAATCCAACTTGCCTCGTTTCCGGTAGATTTATTTCTAGTTGCTGTGACGGCCACGACAGCAGCGGTCATTCAGGTGCCTCTTGTAATGTCAGGCCAAGGCTCGTGACTTAATTCCTATCGGCATGCCTCCGTACGGCTGCGTACGGCTATTTATAGCCACATCAGTGGAAGAATCAAAAGGGTACGCCGCCAAAGTAGTTCTTCTGAGGGCCAGGAAACCCCGTATCCGCATACATATGTCTCTGGAGATTTTTTAGTCGCGTTGAGTACCAACAGTCTCCAATAGCCTCAGTAGCCCAAGACGGTCTTACAGCTCCAAGAAAGCGCTGGCAACAATAACATGACGGCTCTGCGCGGGAGCTGTGCATGGACGGCCGCGCCAGCGGCTGCCGCGTTGATTTTGCTGCTAAGCTTCGCGGTCGGAAGCTTCGCGCTGGAGACTTACTCCTTAAGCGCGGTCCGTCGCGATCTGCGTCCTACATCTCTTAGTTCTAGCAAGGAAATTATTCCAGACATCGCTATCACTTCTTCAGCTGCCTCTGCTTCTTCTTCTGCTTCTGCTGCTGAACGTCATCGTGACGATGTTGGCCCTGGGGATGACGACCTAGTAATGCGCCTCGCAACTGGTCTCGCAGCAGCGACGCCACAGGCGCTAGCGGCAGCTGCAGCTGCCAACTTTGGTTTGGGGCCTGTGCTATGCAACACTCTGGATTGCCCCTCCTACAAGGCGAGTTAATTTTTCCTACTATCAAGTTTGCCTGCTATGTTACTTTGGTGTGTTCGTTGGTTGTTTAATCTCTGTCGTTCGCGGCGCTTGGCTACCCGGTTGTAGTACGTCTTTTGTGGCTTATTCTCGCGCCTTATGTATTGTGCTTTAACGTTTTATGGCAACAAGATATTTAGTAAAGCTGGGTTGTCAATTTCAAATGTGATGACCCCCGGGTCATACGCCGCAATAGGTCATCTATTGCAGCATGAAACCTCGTACGCGGCGCGTTTCTTTGAATCCCTTCCACGTTGAAATTGGGGATCCGCACGGCTTCATTTTGTGACCCGTGGGTCACTCCCGTGCACGAACTGTAGGAAAGGCGTCCGTGAACCCCCGGGACCCCCGGGACCTACATTGACCGACCGGGGCTTATCTCGTTTTACCGCCTTGTATCCGCAATTTTTTGTTAAAGATAAAGATGTGATTTCGTAGTTATGTATTTACGTATAGATGGGGAGTGGCAGCCGAGCATATGATAATGCGACCTCGGGCATTCGCATTGAACGCAACCGAGGTGCCTGTAAAACAGACATATATTACCAAACCAGGCAGTGCCCAATGCAATGTAGGAGTGCAAATTTTCGGAGTAGTTTTCAACCGCAGGAGAGCGGACAATTCTCCTTTGGTGTGGAAATGGTCCTTTTTTTCCTTTTCATCACAAAACGTAATTCATTTTTTGCAGCAGGTATATTGCCTAACAAAGTAACAGACAGCCAGCTGCACAGAAGACGTTTTGTTTTGAATCGGAAGCAGCACGAAAACGTAACAATATGAATCGCCGAAGCCAAAGCACAACACCTGCAAAGGTTATGTCCAAATGCTGGCGATGACGTCCTTCCAAGCTGTGTCTGCGTTTCCTTTTTGCCAGCACTCTGCCAGTTGCCGTGAAATACAAATCTTGAAATTTTTGACATGCAGCATGATTTACGCTATATCTTTCCATCGCATCACAGAATGATCAGCTTGTGTGTATGTATGTGTTTGCGTGCGTGTGTGTTGCCCAGGTGTTGGAGCGGTACGACGGTACGGAACTGCGCCGCTACGAGCCAGGTGAGCGGTTTGCGTTTTGTTGCCCACGGCATACCTCCCTCTCCCTCCGCATTACCGAAATCTAATATTCTAGTAGCCTCTCGTGGACGAAATATTGTACGAAATATTCCTCGTACATTAAAGATGATATATTTCCCCCAAACTATCCTGCTCGCTTGCATTTGCAGCCACATTCAGCAGTACAGTGCTATCCCTGGACGATGAAGGCAGCATTGAGAAGGCAGCCATCATCGGTTTCCACGTAAGTCCTTCGTACAACGTCGTACAACGTCGTACTGTTGTGTACTGCAGCAGTGATGAGTGCTATTAGGTAGCGTTGATGTGCGTGTGCGTGCATGTCTACGGCATCAGCCGCCGCCGCCGCCGCCGCCGCCGCTGCTGCTGCTGCCGCCATTGGTACATGTCGTACATGTCGCCCGGCGAGCTAACTGGTATCAAATCGCCTAACATCACTTGGGTCTGTGGCCGATCACACACACACACACATACACATATACATATACATATAGGGGAAGACTTCTTCCCCTAAAGGGGAACTAAAGTTCCCCTTTAGTTCGTCTTCTTTAGGGGAACCAAAGGGGTGTGTTCCCCTTCGGGGAGACGAAGGGGAGACGAAGGGGAGACGAAGGGGTGTTCCCCTTCGGGGATACGAAGGGGAAGAACTAAAGGGTATCAAATCGCCTAACATCACTTGGGTCTGTGGCCGATCACACACACACACACATACACATACACATATACATATACATATACATATACATATACATATACATATACATATACATATACATATACATATACATATACATATACATATACATATACATATACATATACATATACATATACATATACATATACATATACATATACATATACATATACATATACATATACATATACATATACATATACATATACATATACATATACATATACATATACATATACATATACATATACATATACATATACATATACATATACATATACATATACATATACATATACATATACATATACATATACATATACATATGTGTGTTACATGGTTGGGCTGCGTGACCCCATACCTGTAAGACTACCCATACGAGCCGAAGGCCCAAGGGCAATACTACAACGCCTAAAAGCCACGGAGGAAAGGAAACACCGCACATCAGCCCAGACTAGGGTCCACACACACATATATACATATACATATATATGTACACACATAACCACCTTCGCAACCTCCTCCTTTCCTGTTTGACCCCTCCGTTTGACCCTCATGTTTGCGTCCCGACATACATACATTTGCAGCGACTGCTCAAGTACAACCTGGGTGACAACGAAGACAGCAGAAAGGTACGACAGTTGTACGGCGACACGCAGGGAGATGTAGGTATGCATTGCTGCCGGCAGACGATCTGGGGCTGTACGGCACCGGCAGGTGCAGTACGGTACGGCATAGATGCAGCAGTAGCTAGGGCAGGGACGACGAGCTTTAAGGAAGACCCCCCCCCCGGGGGCATTCCCGGACTTTTGTTCCGGCAAGTTGATTATTATCATATACCAAAGCTAAGGGCTGTTTTCTGTTATATATAAAATGTCTTTGTTGCGATTTTATTTATTTATGGAATGGCGAGACCTCTAGCAGCGATATGTGGTCAAAAGAGCCCTGTGGGCAGTCGGCGTACGTCAGCAGCAATCAGTTGACGGTTGACTGTTGTCACCATTCCTGCGACGAATATACGGCGATCTCCGCGTCACCGCCCCGCCCCCCGACTTCCTGCCTGCCTGCCTGCAAGTCACGCATATGCGCAATAACCCGCGCCCCGCTCACGCCTCGTAGAGGGGTCCTCCAGGGGGGGGGGTCGTCCCCACGTCGTCGTCTCATTAAATCGTTACATGCGGGTCGGCGCAGTGGGTCGCGTGGCTGGGGGGATATAAGAGGATATATATACCGATGCGCTCGCCACGCGTATGTACGGCATGTGTACTGCAGGTTGCCATGACAGCTCCAGTGTTATACGGTCTGGATATTGACTGGAAGGCCTCTTCACGGCGCGATCTCCGCTTTCGCGACCGGTTCTCCGTGTCCTTCTTCGTGCCGTTCAGATACCAGGTGGGTCGGATGCGGAAAAAGGTGATATGTGCTGTGTGATGCCGCCGTTGCTGTTATACTGATGTGATGTGATGCGGCTCTAATGACGGCAACAATCGTGTTGCTGCCAGACACGGACAGACAGACAGACAGACAGACAGACAGACAAGACAGACAGACAGACAGATGGCTTTATACTTTCCTTTGTGCCGTTGTCATCATCCTTTTTTCTGAATTTAATCTCGTCTCGTACATTTCCTGCCTGTCGTACGTTCGTTACGTGGGCAAAAATGTTGCATGTACTGCATGTATTGCTGCTGTTGCAGGACAAACCGCCGTCTCCCTCGAACCCGGATGTGTTCCTCGTGGATGTGAAGGTGGGATGATGGGCCTTATTTGGTTTCGGGGTGGGCCGTATTATTATTATTATTATTATTATTGTTATTATTTCTTTCTTTTCACGATGTACGAACGTAGGAACGTTTCTACACGTGCTCCAACAACTTTTATAATTAACTGTGCTCAATATTTAACTGTGCTCAATAATAACTGTGCGGATAATGAAAATAATAGTTAACAACATCAAAAGGCGCACCTGTCACTCCCGCTGTAGGAGGTCGACATCTTTGTCCGTTCCTTTGACGGGTATGCCACCGGAGCTCGCATCCACCGCGTCGCGGCTTCCTTCCTGCGAGATCTGTACGACGAGGGGCACCGCGTCGACTGTCGTACAGCGTACATCGCGCAGTACAGCCCGCCATTCCAGGTGCAATGGCTCCTCCTCCGGGGGGAAGCAAAATGAGGAGAAAGGGATAGCGCGCGAATAAATAAAATATAAATAAAATATATACAAGGGAAGTAAAGAAGCAAGCTCCCGTCGTATTACGTGGCGTGAGGAGTTCCTGCTGGACACAAGAGAGAAAGCACTGGGCAAGAAAGAGGTCACGCCATCTTTATTGTTGCCTAACTTGGCAAGGTTATGTCGCCCACTTCCCGTATCAGCCACCTGCCCTAGAGAACCCCTCCATAACCATCATATAAGGGTGGAATGAAACCCCCGGGGCCGGGCTCACCCCCGGTTGGCGCGCCTTGACCTCTTTACTAATGTCGGTGTCGGCTCCTCAACTCGCTGTCCATTCCCTCTCCCCCCCCCCTCCACCGACCCACACCGACCCACACCGGCTACCACACATTGCTGCCTTGAACAAAATTCCTCGCACAACAGCCCGTCTTCCGATACAACGAGGTCTGGTTTCTGCGCCGCCGCCGGCGGCACCTCGCCGACGATGAGGAGACTTTCCCCTCTGCAGCCGCCGCCGCCGCCGCCGCCGCTGCTGACGATGACGAAGATGTCGCCGACGATGATGATGGGTCGTGCAGCTTCCTAACCGGGGGTATCGAGTACGAGGCGGAAGGTGAGGATGAGGAGGTACTGCAGCATCAGCAGCCGCATCTGGATGGGCTGGACGAGCAGGACGTACTTGGGCAATTGCAACAGACAGCAACTGCGCGCCAGAGGAGAGCGGCGGTTGAAGAGGAGGTTATCCAGGCCGTAAAGGAAGTGGTTTCGGAGGCACGTCGGAATGGCGTGTTTGTAAATCCCCTGCCGATGGAGGCCTGAGGGGAGGGTAAAGGATGCTCTTCTTTCCTTTTTTTCAAAAAGCAGTATGGGTGGCTGGCTGGTTGGCTGGTTATGCCTTGTTATTAGTTGCGCCATCAGTTTGCGGTTGGCTGACCGCAGATTCGGGTTATGTGCATCATCATCATCATCATCATCATCATCATCATCATCATCATCATCACCTCCTCAAGGACTGGGCTCTGTGTTGTGTTGATTGGCGAGAGGAGAAGCAAGTAGTGGTGCATAGGATAGATTGGGTTTAGGGTTTTAGGGTTTGTTTGGAGAGGCGGATGGATGAAATAGATGTTTATGATGCTGATATGCAGTAAGTTGCAGACGTTGAGAAAGGCGGGTTGGATGGTGGGTGTATGTGCACGTGTTGGTGTTGGTGGAAGCGTGGAGAGTTTTTGAGACGATGATGGTCGTTGTTAACGTTGACCGTTGGCCTTCATTTTTCTGCTTCCTTTTTCAAAAGAAACACAATCGTATAACAAACATGTATAGCTAGCGCCCACGACTCGGCCATGCATACCTCTTCATCTGAAATTTTGCGCAACGGATAGGATTTTTGCAGGATGTTGGACGAGCAAAGTTGAACCCGTACAAGTCACGACATAGCGACCGGCAATGACAGCGGGGCAGGCGCCTGTCCTTCGTAATAGTACTCTGCGTAATATGCGTACGTATCCTGGTGTTAATGGAATGGAACGACAGCTACCGCCGCCTTGATCGTCGAACAGACTCCCTTAACACGTCCTTTTTCCCCCTAACCCCCCTTTGGTTGATTTCTATATTGCTTAAAAGGCAGTCTTAGCGCCCACCGGGCCGTTCAGGAGCTGCACCGCACCTGAAGTAAACTACCACCCTTAATTGTTGGAAATTCAAAGATCTACACAACGTACAACTACTTGCCGCCACTTTTAAAACAATATTAAATGATGTCTCGCAAAAATATTACGCGAATAAAAATAGGATTATTAGTAATGGTTAGGTAAAGAATTGCAAAAATTGTAACAAGAAGCGAAAAAAAACAAATCCACACGCACCAGTATCCTGGACAGTAGCAAGCAGCCAAATCGAAATGGTTGGTAAGCACACACAGCTGGTATGTGGCCATATTCGCACACAGACGCACTACAAATCCCCGGGAGAGCAGCCGAGCATGCGCTCCTCCGGCACCCCACCTTCTAACTCACCCCACACACGCCGGCAACCAGAAGTTGCCTTTCTTCCCATCTTCTGGTGCACTATCATCTAATAGTTCATCACGCGCCCACTTCCACTTCCACCCCGCAGCTCAACAACTATCACCACTACTATGCTGCAGCCATCACCACCACCACCACCACCACCACCACGGACCTCACACCCCATCAGGATGATGATGATGATGATGATGACGATGATGATGGAGGAGGAGGAGGAGGAGCGACATCAGACGTCGTGAAGCCACACAGCATGCTCCCCAAAATGACCTCGCACTTGTCACACATGCCGTACATCTCCCCGTGCACTCGGGTGGATGCCGCCGCCTCGGTGCCGCTGTCATGCCGCGCCCTCGTCGTGCCCTGCGATGTTGCCGTGTTGGGCGGGCTGCCGTACCAAAACTCCACCAACCCAACCGGTGTCAAACCTTCCTGTACGGCAGCCCAGATCAGTTTGGGTGCGCAGCAGTCACCTGTGCCCGCGGGGAAGCCCCCCGGACTGCAACTTGAAGCTGCGTGTGTGAGGACTTGCCGCTGCTGTTCCTGTTGCTGTTGCTGTTGCTGACGATGATAATTATGGTGGTGGCGATTATGATGACGATGATGCAGGGTACTACTGCTGTGGCTACCGATGCTGCTACTGCCACTGCTGCTGTTACTGCTGTTGGCGGTGGTCCCATGCTCAGCACTCCAAAGGCTCCGTCGCCCCTCTTCATCACGGTGACGGTGACCGGGTCGGGGCTGCCCTTCCTCTTGCTGCTGATGTCCCCCCTCCCCCTCCCCCTCCCCCTCCCCCTCCGCCTCCGCCTCCGCCTTCTCGTCTTCTGGCCGTATCCGCCGCGCTTGCTGTTCGTGCTGTTGGTCTTGTTGGCGTTGGTCTTGCCGCTGGCGCATTGCCGTGTCGTACACATCCAGCAGCCGCAGCTCCTGACCGGCAAAGTTTCGGAGGCTGTAGCTGTTCTGAATGCGACCCAACAACTCGAGGGACAGCGCGCGGCGCCGGGCGCGCAGTAGCTGCCGCTGCCGCAGCAAAAAGGCCTCCGCCTCCGCCTCGGGCTCCACCCCGCTGTTGGTGCCCCTGTGGCTGTTTCTGGTGGTGTTCTGGGAGCCTTGCCTGATACCACCTGGGGACTGGCGTTCGCGTCGTCGCAGGTTCCGCTGGTCACGTTCCTGTCGTCGTTGCCGTGGTTGCTGGTAGTTATGGCGGTTGTGGCGGTTATGATCGTTATGTTGCTGCAGTGCGGCATCCAGGGAGGCCAGTCTTGCGGAGTGGGCCTCCTGTGGACGAGGTCGTGCAGCGCGCCGTACTAGTCTTATACTGGGCGGCATATGCCGAAAGGACGAAAGGCGTGCGCGCGTGTGTGTTTCATAAAGACTCAGCAGTAAGGACACTTGGTAAGATTTGCCGAAGTAAGTAAGCCAGGAGATAAGATTTAGAAGCTTCCTGTAAATCTGTACACAGTATTAAACAGTGCGAAGCCCCTTCTAAGTATTTAGAACGGGCGGAAATGATTTCATTTTTGAGGATTGAGCCGCGCGCGCGAGCAGAAGATTATGAAGAGGCGACAAAGGTCGTGAAGCGCACGGTAGATTTGGCAGGCAGGCGTTGCAGGGAGCATTGCCAAACGAACACGTGCATGCGTGTGTGCGTGTGTATGCATGTGCAGTGTCCTGGCCCCAGCGTGCTCGTGGGCAGGTTAGTCAGTTGGCCAGTGGATCATAGTCTGGTTTCGGGGCGACACGGGTGTAGGGGGAAGGGGAAAACTGGAGAGATTGACGCCGGCTTCGGGGCGCGGAATCACTCGACTGTGGAACTCTGCTTTAAATCCAAATGCTTTCAATTCGCGCGGCTGCATATACGTCACTACCCCGTCCCTTCTAGTATCAAATTATCATGTGGCAGGATTTCAGAGTGTGCGACGTTCAGTCGGGAAATCAGCGCAATTGACTGACCGTGAGGGCGCGGTAGTCCTGGTATAGCGGCGTTGCGTTGATGACAGTAGCAATAGGGCCCACCCATCCAGGAACGTGCCAATAGTTGGTCATCTGACCGCTGAAGGCCTTTAGGACAACAAATGCGGACGTTCCTTCCCCATCGTCCGCTCCCTCCCAACTGCCATGGGCTCGCTTGCAAACCAAGACGCCGAACATCCTGCCAGGTCCTTTAGTCCAAACGTAATCAATATGGAGAAATTGATTGGGCGTTGCGCTGTCAAAGTCGATGCGTCCCTCTGCATCAAGCTTCTGCATCAATTTCCTTGCCGCGTCCATAGCCTCAGGTGTCGGGCGGACAAAATGGGTTCCGCGACAACATGTACAAAATCCTCCATATTTAAGAACAGCACACGCCGAAAGCGAAGAATCTGCTAAACGCAAAGCATGCTGCCGCCAGCTGTCGCTGTTTCCTAGACGTGTGCGGCGGGATGACTTGACAAAATGGCTTCTTAGGCGTTTATTCGGATAGCAGCATGCGGGTACAGGGCAAGCCTGCCGCCCCTGAAACAGCAACTGCATAGAGGTTGATGGACGCCTTCCAAAGGCCATGACTGCCGACTAAAAGAAGGACGAACTATCCTTATTCAAAAGGGCAAAAGCACGACATCATGCTATGCCCAAATTGCCCACATTGCCAAGCATGGATGATGTTACCGACTGACTGGTACCGTTGGACCCTAACCACCCAGAGTGCGCCGTACGTTGGGGAGCGAAAACGCCGCTGCCAGATCCTCCCTCTCTATACCACCGCACAAGGCATCAACCCTCTCCCATGCAACTTGAACCCAATTCTCCTCGTTGCTCCTCGTCCTTCAGTCACATGTCACATCTCTAGGTGGATGGTGCTGTATGGTATGATAAATTGTAGAAATGACGACGTGTTCAAATGGCCCAGAAGCCTCCCACTCTGTAACAATTCAACATCTCTAGGTATATGCGGTCTCCGGTCTGCGGCGCACTCCGGCAAAACTTAGAACTCCGAATCCTCTAGCCCTGGAATCCTGGACGAGCTTTCGTACATGCTCGGCACCGCCGCCGCCGCCCCGCGCTGCCGCCGCAACTGCTGCTGCTGCGACCTCCATTGCAGGCTGCTCATACCAGATTGGCGCTCGGCGACAGTCGGCCCCAAGCCTGGCGGCACAGCCGCCGCCGCGCCACCGCCGCCGCCGACCATGCCCGCCGGCAGCCCAGACATCTGCGCCTCCACAGCATCCATCTGCATCTCCGGCGCGCGGCTGTAGTACGCGGATGTACGGGTATCGTACTCGCCTTCGAGCTGACGTTGGATGATAAACTTATTGTTGCGATGGCCGCCGCCGGTGGCGGCCTCCGTGTACGGACTTCGGTCGTGTACGGCGGCGGCCTGGATTCGTTGCTGCGCGTGCCAGGTACGCGGCTCGTACCTTGCAGCATACGACACCAACGGGTGTACGGCAGCGTACGACAGACGTATAGTAAGAAGAAAGGCATTGGCAGCTATCATACACGAAGCAAGAGAACGGAGCTTCGAGGTGATGATTTAAATAAACAGAATTTCGTCTGTAGAACTTTCATCGTACAGCCATGCGATGTTGGAGCAAAAGAATGCTCCCGGGAGCACACGCCGCGGATTTCTCCAAACGGCAAACTCATGCAACTTCGGATGCTTTTCCGAGAGCACATGCGCCATGTTGCAGAAGAGTCGCGCTGAAGTCGCCCCGCCCCTCTCCTCCTTGTAGCCCTCATCAGATCAGTGCTGTCACAACAATACATCCAAAGTATCGTCCCCCTCATCATCGTCGTCGTCGTACTGCCGTACCTGTACAACACGCTGTACAGCCCAAAATACAGGAACGCCGTGATGCCCAGTACGAACGACATGAAGCGGCCACTGTGGGGCAGTAGTAGCAGCAGCAACAGGACAAGGTTGGTTCTGACTAGATCGGTTGTCGGTTGTCAGTTATCGGTTGAAGGATAGAGGACACTCCCAGTGGATTTTCGAGTAAACTGACAACTACTTGGGGCTGAATACGACATTCAGCCCCAAGTAAACCCATTCCTCTCAAGCACATGACCACCAGGTTAACCACCACCACAGCAACAGCAGCAGCAACAGCAGCAACAGGAGGAGGAGGAGGACGTTGCGACTGCGGGTGATGGACCCATGGGACCATGGATGGATGCGGTGGTGGATGCGGTGGTGATGAATGTGGTGGCCCTCCTCCACTTGACATCTCACTCACCCACCCACCCACCTCTCATGCAGGCCCGCGTCCACGACTTTTTTGGCGATCAGGCACAGCACTGCAGTGGGGACGAGGGGAAAGTGGGGGCGAGGGTGGGGAGGGACGGGAGGCAGGGACCCGGAGGAAAGGCGCCACAGGGGGGTGGAAAGGAGTGGAGTGGAGGGGGTTGGAGGGGGTTGGAGGGGGTTGGAGGGGGGTGGACGGGAGTGGAGGGGGGTGGACGGGAGTGGAGGGGAGGGGAGGGGGGTGGACGGGAGTGGAGGGGAGGGGAGGGAAATCTTTAAAAGTAGTTTCTAGTTGTTAGATCTTTCAACCGGGGGGAGGCGGTGAAAATCCAGGTTTCTGAAACCCGGACAGAGACACTGGACGGTGACACGGAGCCGCGACATGGCGCATGGCGGGACTCATGCAGATGCAGTAAGTACGGCTGATGTACGGCACTCCTTCCCCAACCGGTGTGGACGAACGAACCGGAAGGGGAACATTCCACTCAGCCGGCGGCCAAGATACACCAACACACACCAACACACACGTGTGCAATGCCCCTCGCTCTTGCCGCTCGCTGCCTCGTCGAAATGCATCACGATGTGTGATCGTGCCAAACGAAACACAGACGCGTCGGACAAACGCCTGCTGCTAACCTACATACTTACGTAATCCGACCGGTATCAGCAGCAGCTGACCGTACTGACCTGCGCGCGCAGGGGGGGGGTTAGGGAGAGCGTGGGGGTGTAGGGCGGGTATGAATAGGAGGGTGACAGGGAAAACATACACACACATACATGCATACATGTGTAATCAAAGCTATACATACATACATACATACATACATACATACATACATACATACATACATACACACATATACACACGCACCCGCCGCGGTCCTGACACACTCTCTCGGCGCTCCCGTGGCCACCCAGCCCATGGTCAGGATCTTTAGGGCCCCCGCCAGCATGAAGGTGTAGCCCGCGCCAGGAACCCGCCGTTCAAGGGAGATCTGCGGATAGATCGGAGCAACCATTACATCAACGGCCAAGACAAGATCCGGGAAACAAAAACACCCGAAATCATCGGAATCGATCAAGCGACCCCGGGGTAAAAGTTTGGGGCCAGATCGCCGGAAATTCCTTTTTCCAGGACAACTAATATACATTATAACATGGTTGGCCTTTCAGGGTGAGGTTTAAGGGTTTTACGAGGTTTTAGAGGCTTTACAGGGTTTTAGTTTTTTTTCCAGGTGATGCCCGCTCCAGGGTTGGTCTTAGAATTAATACAGAAGAAATCGGTGACATCGGCTGTCGTTTGTGGTTTCGCGGTGTACGGGAGGAGCCGACTTCGTGTACGGTGAGGTCAGGAAAAGCGGATCGATTACATGAGAGCGGATGGAGCCTGGCGATTGGAAGTTGGTCCATTCTCTACCCCCAGGCATACGAATATATGACATGCATACATGCTGCATATACATACATACATATATATACGTATATGCATGCGTACAAACACGATTTACTATAATTCCGGGTTTTGTGCCCTCAGGGGTAAACCCCAGAGGGGGTGAGTGGCGACTGACTGTCGTTTACATTCCCGTCCTACGCCGCGCCTCCATCTCCGGGAGGGCACACTAGGGCACAGGACAGAGAAATAGCCCTAAGGGCCCAAGGGAAGGCATCAGAAAGGGGTTGGGTGAGGGGAGGCGGGCTTCACCGCAATACGCACGTATGCACACGTACGCGCAAACCTGCGCGCGCACGCCTACTGCTTCCACTGGGCACATCGAAACGATGGAGGTCTCCATTGGTCGTAAGGAGTTCTCATATGTTGGAAACCCGCGTGTACTACGGAGAAGATGAGGTACTAAAAGTAGGGGAAGTACGAACCTCACGCGGTCCTTCCTCGGCCGGTGATCCCTCTGCCGATGCCCGGACCTAGGGGGTTCCGCAATCGACAATCGACAGGGAACGACAGGGAGGAGAAGAAAACGGCTGCTTCAGCGAGAAGGTTTCATGGAGGAAGCTGGCATATCCACGATACCATACCAGCAAAAGATGGCGTCGTCCGCATAGTCGGAAAGGTCGCGATGGCCATCGCTGCGGGGGCGTGACCCGACCACAGGCGGAAGGGCGCAGCTGCGCCCCCAAGGGCATCCCTACTAATATGATTTATGACCAGGTGCGCAGAATTGCTTATATAAAAGCGGGCTCGTTATGCAAACGCAGTAAATGGAACAGTCAGCCTTGTAAGGGTCCGGAGCCTTATAAATTACCGTAGCTGCTTCAAAAGAACATGTACACTGTAATAATTGTGATAGGAAGCATTCACACAAGCCGGCTGGCCCGATTTGGTACTGATTGCAGTAGAGCGTATAGGGCTTCTGCGAAATGCAGACGACTTGCAACTGCATGCTAAGCTTTGCATAGGAAAAATCTTTCAAAATCCTTATACGTGTTGTGTCGTTTGTTCACTTGTCATCTGCTGTGTTACTGAGGCAGTATTCTCGGAACGTCGCGGCGCCGCCGCGTTGACGACTGCGATCTACAAAGCCTTCCACGCAATCCACATCAACATTTTTGCCCTATATAGAATTTCATCGAATTAGTCTATGTATCCGGCGATGCGGTGACCTCTGCCAGCCACTCAACTTCAGCTTCCGACACGCCTGTCGCTCGGCTTCTTGCCACTGCCAAACATCGCGCCGCAAAATTCCAGCACAAAATAGCGACCACTCACTGGCGCCAATACCTACAGTGCTGTTTCATTCTCAGGTGGGAGGTGTCAGGGCTTCCTAGAGATTGCCTCCCCCTGCCGCTCCTATCCTCCTACCCCGCCCGTTGTAATGTGTATGCCCATAAAGGACCTCATCTGATTCCGTACCTCTCGGTTATACCCCTGCATTGCTCCTACCTCTTAACCACCTAACCGCCTAACCACCTAACTACCCACCAAACTTAGACCCGAATCTGTATGACCACGCAATGATCATTCCCCCACCTGACACCGCCATACCACCCGCCAGGTTGCCCCAGCCATGTCCCTGCCGTACCCTCCAGGGGTTGTGTAGCCGGGGGAAAGGGTCGGCAGCAGGAGGGTGGGAAGGTGTACGGCACACCGGCGCTGTGATATTAAACACCACCACAGCGCACGTACGTGCCCGCGGCCTCGTAAAGACAACGTTGAGGTTACAGGGCACGACGCGACGCAACACCACACGGCAGCAGCAGTAGCACCAGCAGTAGCACCGGCAGTAGAAGTAGCAACAGGAACGGTGTCGGCGAAAGGACATGCCGTGTCCTCAGCTAATTGGATCGTAAAACCCGCACGAACATCCCCGCAGACATAAAACCAGCGGACAGCAGCAGCAGTCACGTCGTCCACCGGTTGTCACTGTGTTGTTGCTGAGCCGTTGTTGCTGAACATCCCTAACCGCCCGAAACCTAGAACCGCCAACGGCCAACCGAATAGTTAGGTAGATGGGGCTTATCAACCTCCTCAACGAAAAGCCCGTACATCTGGTCTTGGCCAAGGACAGAGTGAGAAGCATCAAGAGAGGCCACCCCTGGATATTCCCGGAAGTGAGTACGGCAGTACGGCAATATGTGCGTTGTTGTACATGTGGACGATTCCGCGATCCCGTCGCAAATAGCGGCTCAACTATCAATCAATCAAACGCAAATGCCGACAGTTACTGTACGACATGCACGGCTGTCATATGTCGTGCCGTACACACATGCAGGTACTTCGAGAGTTGCCCAAAGCTCCGCCCGGTTCATTAGCGTTACTGAAAACTGCAGAGGGGGATGTTTTAGCAAAAGGATATTACGACCCGGGATCGAAGCTCGCATTCCGCAGTTTTGCTCTTCAACGGGACAAATTGGACGAGCAACTGATTGCAGCGCGTCTGGAGCGTGCAGCGCAGCTTCGCGACATGTTGTTTGAACCGTACGACACCACCAACGGTTTCCGGTTGGTCAACGGTGAAGGAGACGGCTTGCCAGGCCTTGTGGTGGATATGTACGACAGCGCGGCGGTGATGAAGCTGGACGGTGCTGGTACGTACGTACGTACATATGTACGGCAAGCGCATTGCTGGTTGTCATATCAGTGATTGTTTTCCTGCCTCCAATAGCCTTCCATCCATCTGTGCGTGTGTGTGTGTGTCTGTATGTGTATGTGAGCATCAGGGTACCCCCTCTGCTTAGTCCTCCATCAAATGTGTTCTTATAGCAAACGCAATACACGCATAGCAATGTGTACGGAAGAAGATTTTGTATTAAATACGAGCTTACGATTCGCTGCTGGCGGGATTGTGTGTATGCCCGGGAGCGCGTGTCACTCCGTCACACGTCACGCAGCCAAACCACCGAAAGGGCAGTAGTACGGAAACCGCTGAACAACGAACACAATAACAGCACCAACACCCCCACCCCCCACCACGAACACAATAACAGCACCAACAACAGCACCCACCCACCCACACACACACACACCACCAACACCAACACAATAACAGCACCAACAACAGCCGCTCCTCGCGTCCTGGGGAGACCTATATCATCTTCCTGAACAGCTCGGAAAGTCTCCTCAAATCCATACAGGTGGACTGCAGGTAAAGCAGCAGTTTAAAAGAGGCTCCATCCGATCACCCACCGCCTCCCTACAAACCCCTAACCCCCCCCCACACCTACCCCTTGGTGCACATCTTTCACGAGTTCGTACGGCATACACACAGCGCCCCTGTCCCCACCCCCACTAGGTGCCGAGTCCTTTTACAACTCCCGAGAGATAGCCTCCTGGCTCATGTTCCGTTTCTCGTCTCGTCTGAAGACCGTGTTTTTAAAGTACCGGGCAGGGGCCAGCTCCAGCTCAGATGGAGCTTTGGGATCTGGCTCCGGTTCCGGGTCGGGTTCGAACCGGGGTTCCGGTGTTTCTGCGAGTTCTGAGACTCCCGGCGCCGGGGTTGATGAGGGTCGTGGTCGCCTGCTGGCTGGGGAACCCCCGGTGGCCGGGCGGCCTGTGCGCTTTTTGGAAAATGGCGTAACCTTTCAGGCAGATATAGTGCAAGGACAGAAGACAGGTGGGTGACGTTGGTGTTTGATGGTTGTGATTGCAGTTGTTTGGTGGTTGCTGGTTGGGAGTTTAATTTGGTAGTTGGATGCCACCTTCCGCACCCCGACCGGTACTGTCCGTCTGTCTCTAGGGTATATCTGCTTCAATCGTCAGTGGTTCGTCTTAACCCCCCCTTTCATTTAAAGCTTTCCTTGGCATCAGCTTTACTCGCTTGTGGTTGGTCTTTCCCTCCTACCACCACCCCCCCCTCATCATCCACCTTTCCGCACCTCACCCCACATCACGCCTCTTTCCCGCCTGCAACCTCGCAACCGACCCCCCCACACACACCTTGACAACCTCCGAAGGCTTCTTTTTGGATCAGAGGGACAACCGCGCCTTCGTGGGGAGATTGGCCGGGGGGAAGCGTGTGCTTAATGTGTTTGGCTACACTGGTACGACAAAGTGCGGTAGTGAGGGGGCCGGAGGGGGAAGGGAGGGGAAGGCGAAAACAGCATGGCAGGTCAAGGGAGCAGGTGGGTTGGGGGGGTTGAGAGGACGTGCGGGGGGCCGAGTTCATGAGTCCAGGGAGGTGAGGAGAGGGGGGCTTCGCTTGACTCTTTTTTGGAGGTGTGGCTTCCCCGGCGGGTAAGGCCCCCCGCCCCCGTCCCCGCCCTCTGCCTTCCTCTGTCTGACCTCCCTTTTTGAATATACACATACATACATACATACATACATACATACATACATACATACATACATACATACATTGATTACATTGATTACATTTATGCACACACTCCCACACACTCTTGGCGACACGTGTAATAAGTAAACACACCACACACAGAGATACGCACGTGGCTTTGCGGGCCTTGTCGCAGCCGACGTTCCCTTTATTTGTTTTGCCATTCCCTTAGTCGCGACATAGACATACGCACCTGTACGCGAGCCTGGCAAACACACACACATACACACCGTTTGCTCACGCAGGGGGCTTCTCCGTGTACGCGGGAGTGGGCGGCGCCCGCCACGTGACGACCGTTGATCTTGGTCGCGCCGCCTTGTCGTACGCAACTGCCAACTGGGCACTTAACGGTCTGGTTCCGGAGCGGCACGTTGCGGCGGCGGAGGACGCGTTCGAGTTTCTGGAGGCGGCGATCAAAGGCCGGGAAAAGTGAGAGGGGCGTGAGAGCTTCAGTGTGCCTTTCTGTCTTCCTATTTTTCTGTCTGTCTGTCTGTTCTGTCTGCACCTCATCGTTCTTAGTTGAAAAGAGGAGTACATTTCGAGTCACTGGTTGGTTAATGATATCCGTTCCCCTCGGGAAGACAGAACACAGAGGAGGCAAAGCAGCTGACGGTCCCAAATCGGCTGTCTAACTCCCACTCCTTACCTCAATCTACCCCCCCTCCCACCCCGGGATGATCCCTCCCTTACCCTCCCCCCCCCCAAAAAAACACCCATCCACCCATGCACCCCTCCACACCCCTCCACACCCAACCACCCACCCTCTCAACCCTCTGCCAGGTGGGATGTGGTCATCATCGATCCGCCATCTTTCGCACCCAACAAGCAATCTGTGGAGAAGGCACGTGCGTCGTACACTCGGCTCTTCGCCGCTGCCGCGGCGGTGACGGCGGCGCACGGGTCTCTCTCTCTGGCGTCTTGCAGCAGCCACATAGACTCGCCAATGTTTATGGAGGTGGGTTTTATCGTTTTGTCTCGGGGCCGGAGGGAATGTGGGGGATATCCCGTGAAGGTGATGGGGGCAGAGGGAGAGAAGGAAAAGGCGAGGCGAGGAAGGAGGGAAAAGGGAGGAGGAGATTTGGGGGGGTAAAATTTTTAAAGTATTCTTTAGTTCAGGAAATGGCCAAGTGTAGACGTCAAAAACCCCACGAACCAATCTCTTGCTCCGTACACCATCATCACTAGTATCCTCCTCCTCCTCCTCCTCCTCATCATCATCATCATCATTAGTCGCATCATCACCATCATCATCGTTAGTAGCATCATATGATTCCCGCCCACCCTCTGTCCCCCAGGTGTGCTCGGAGGCTCTTGGCAAGGCTCGGCGGCAGGGCTATGTGGTGAGGGTGGCGGGGCAGCCCGCTGACCACCCCTTTCCCGCAGCGGCAGACGAGCTGAGCTACCTGAAGTTCGTTACCTTCCGCTTGGAGGGCTGAGTAACGATTAACGAAATGCGTCTCGTCCTGTGTTCTGTTGTGTTTAGTTAAATTAGGTTTACTGGATGAGGTCGTTGTGTTTTGGTATCTCTGATGCTTTTTAAGAGGCCTTAGAAAGGGGAGAATATCGGTAAGAGTTTATGTGACAGGCTCGGAGAGACGAACTGTTTGAAAGAAGGCAAGGCAAGGCAGGCTGCGGGAGGGCCCGGGAAATGGAGAAGATGAATATCAAGATGGAGGAGAACTCGGGCACATTCACACGGCCAGATACGCAATATATCCTGAGGCTTAAAAAGCACCACCGCGGGTGCGCGCGCGTGGGTCACCCGCGTGCTTGCGAGCGAGATGGAGTGATGAGCGCCCCCAAACGATCCAGGTACGGTGAAAAGGGCTAACGGGTGGAAAGGGTTTGTGACCGAATAGCTGACTTAAGAGTGAAAGGAGAGCGAAGGGGAGAAGAAGGACAGCTAAGGTGCCGGAAGACTTTTTTCCCCTAAGAACCTTTTCCTGTTGTGAGACAGAGCGCCCTTCTGGGTGCGGGGGATCACGCTGTTCAGCGGCCTCTCCCACGCTGTCTTGAAGCGTGGTGAAGCGTGTTTGGATCGGAGTCTAAAGCCATAATGTTATATAATATCAGAGGGCTGAGGACAAGCCGATTTTTTATGTATGTTTGTCGGTATGTGTGTCGGTGTGCATGCATCGGTGTGATACGTACGTACATATATGTATGTAAGGGTATTGACATCCGCTGTAATCCCCTCTCGATAGTGCATCTGGTGGGTTAACTGTACCCAACGGCAATAACCGCTGGCCAGCAACCCCCAACCCACAACCAACCCCAGCAACCAATCATCCCACCAGTCCGGGAACCCTCCAGCCCACCAAAGGGGATGAACCAAAGGGGAACCCCTTCGTCTCCCCGAGGGGGAACACAATGGAACTGATGGAGGGGGAACAAAGTGGAAGGGGAGGGGGGGGGCCGGGGGAGGGGACATACAGACGTACAAACAAAACAGGCTGCGAGTCGCAGAGAAGATTCTTGACCTGGATAGAGCATGCAAGCTTGGGGTAACCTTCTTCATCCAGTTGTTGCATGTTGTATGTGTTTTTATACAAGTACATGCAAGCTGGATTAAAAGAAGCACCAAGCGCAATTCAGTGAAATGTTATACACGTACATATGTAATATGATGTTGAGTCTCGTCCAGGACAAGACGAAGGAAACGATGCTCGAAGTCTGGAAAGCGCGGGAATAATCACTTCAACCCTGCAGCCGTTTTTCTTCTCTGTCCTCTCCGACGTTTCTCCTCTTGCAAACCCAAATCGTTATCGCCGCCGCTCCTCTCTCCCCGCACCGCTCGGTCCTCAGATTCACACAGAGACACCTCCCTCCCTCACTCCCTCCCTGCTCATTCCTAGTTCATTTCTTAATAGATAACTACTTCTTCCAAAACCAACAGCAATGAGATTCCTGCCATCTGCTTGCGTGTAACGTACACTTGTACGAAATACCCTGCCAGTACATCACGCGGTACGGCACTGGAAACAGCACTACGTCAATCAAGGACACCTTCGTACGCACCTCCAGTGAGACCATACATACATACGTACACATATACATACATAAATAAGACGAACGTAACTGGTGACTAGGTAACGTTTCTTCCCTGGGCCCCACCCCGGGCCGAGGTGTTGCTATGTAATCCGGCACCTCTCCGGAGGGGTCGCCAAGAGACCTCAGCCAAAATCAAACATCAACATTTTACACAACACCGCCGGATCAAACTTTTCTTTCTATCCAGAAGTTCTAAGACCGCGCACACCGCACCCCCTCCTTATACATCTATACATCTTTTTTTACATGACACCGCCGTACTGTACGGCAAGCGATCGTGTGTTGATCCGCTCGTCGTTGAAGACCTGGAGCGATGGCGCCAGGATACGAGTGTAGCGGTCGAAGTAGAGCAGCTGCTTTAGAAAGAGACCAAACTGCGGTTTGGAGGCGCCAGGAAGGGGTGATCGGGCGCGAGTGAGGGAAGGCGGGAGGGAAGGGAAGAGGGAAGTGGGGGAAAGGGACGGGGAAAGGGGAGGGGGGAGGGAAGGGAGGGGGGAGGATAGGTAAGCGAGGTGTTCTCAAAACAACTAGGTTCCTGACGCGCTTTCTCATCAAGCTGAGCCCCTTCCTAACAAACAAAGTGCTATCTCCGGCCAGTGCTTGAGATGCCATATTCTTTAGCGCCCCAGCTACTCATAACGCATAGGAAGGAAGAACTCATTCACAATAGGAAGAAGGGCCCGGAGGGAAGAAGGAAAAGGAAAAACGAAAAAATAAGTTGCCAACACAGCAGTTACCAGCCCCCGTAAAAGCCTCTTTCTACTCGTCGTCTTTTATCTGAAGACAAACAAACACAAACAAGCAAAACAATTAAGAAATCATCCTTAAAAAACCCCGATCAGAAAATGGCCCTCGGACTCTCACTCACCTCCCGTGGGAACTTCACCCCGTGGGTTTCCCCTATCCGTACAAGTTGTACGAACAGACGGTTAAGCTGAGCTTGGTCGACTTCCAGGCTTGCAGAAACCCCCCCGGCGCGACCTTTAAGGGGGCGGGGGCGGGGGCGGGGGCCGACGTGAGACCGGTGTCCCGTCCCACACGGTTGTGATGTTGATGGTGGTGATGGTGGTGATGGTGGTGATGGTGGTGATGGTGGTGATGATGATGGTGGTGATGGTGGTGATGATGATGGTGGTGATGGTGGTGGTGGTGGTGGTTGAGGCAGACCGGCGACACCACGGGTCTCTATGTCTTCAGGGTTGGTTTTAGGATCAGACCGCCCACCATCCGGAGACTCGTAACATGCTCTAAGCCCCACTAATCCCCACTTTCCCTCTTTCCCCCCGGGTTTTACAAAACACACAAACACACACACACACATCCCCTAAGCATCCCACCGCATTTCCCCCCCGGCCACCCTCATCCATCCGCAAACACATTTTACCAGCAGAGCACAGTCTGTGCGGGTCCCTTCCCCTCACCCAGGGAAACCTCCACCACCTCACGTTCTCCCATTCCGCCCCATCGCACGCACCCAACCCCCTGTTCCCGTCAACCAACCAACCGTCATTTCAACCGCTCCCCTGCCAACACCCGTTCCCCCACCCTTTCCCCTCCTCTTTCCCGTAACGCCATCCGCCTTCCTGCGGCAGTCGGTGCTTTGGACGAGCCGACACAAACCATTTCCTCCACGTATTTCAAACGGCCATATACACACACATACACACATACATACACTGACACGCGACTACACGTCTTTGGTATCTGCCCCATTCGCCAGTGCTTCGTCTTAAACCCCTTCCCCTTCCCCCCCCCTCCATCTCCCCACCTTCCCGCCCGGTCAGCCCCGGCGGAGGCCCACGGGTCACCACCAGACTGCTGTTGATTTGCTCCAGCTCCGCGAAGAAGGCCTCAAGGTCCCGGGCGAAGGCGGGGAAGTCCACATCCGTGTCGCAGGCGCCGATGGTGGCCAGGGCGCGAGCCTGGAGGGCGGGGGAGGGGAGGGGGGAAGACCACGAGCCACGTGAAGGAGAGAAGCTGATGCCAAGGAGGATATAGACTCTGATAAGCCTCGAAAGTAAAAGGAAGTAAGCAAGGACGAACCAGTCGCGGCTTGGGGGGGGGGGAAAGACGAACCTTGGGGGGAGGGGAAGAGATGAGAAAAGAGGGGAAGAGGGGTACTTCTGCCCACGTGCCGGCCCATATCCCCCACCCACATCCTGCAATGCCCGGGGGCGCGAAATTCCCCCATCGCACCTACAAACCCCTCCCAAAACACACACACACACACACACACACGCGGATCGAACCCCTGGCCCCATCCCCTACCCCCGTTCGCCACACGACACATACACATACACACACACACACTCTCTCTCACACACACACACTAAAGGGGATGTGATAAAGCGGCCCAGAAGCCCCCCACTCTGTAACATAACGTAACATAACATAAAGGGGAACTTTAGTTCTCCTTTAGGGGAAGACACTCTCTCTCACACACACACACACACACACAGGCTCAGACCACTTGCTTCAATGTGTTTTATTACTTTTGTGCTCGTACCCTCCTCACCAGTTCTTGTCCTTGTAGCACAGATTATCAAGACATACATACAAACATACACTTACATACACACATACTATGCATGTGTATGTGCGTGTGTGCGTGTAAATAATGTTCTGTATCAACGCACACACGCACGCTCAGCCCCTCCTAAAGCCGGCACCCCTGGCGTGCTCCGAAACCGACCCACCATCGTCTCGTAGTCCGCCAGCGCCATGGAGCTGATCAGGGTCTCCACCGCCCGCCACGTCACGGGGGAGATACGGCCCACGATACCGAAGTCAATGAAACCCACACGCCCGTCAGCCAGAACTAACAAATTGCCTGCGGGATTAGGCGGGGGGTTAGGGGCGGGTGAGGGGTTCCCCCACACGCACCCACAAAAAAAAGAACCCTGCCCCCAATCCCCCTTTCACCCGAGGCACAAAGAATATAAATACACACATAAATACACACGCACACGGCAACTCCCCCCCCGGGCCCCCCCCCACCCACCCGCGTGCACGTCTGCATGGAAGGTGTCCGCCGCCATAACGCTCGCAAACCACGTGTTGAGTGCGTTGATCAGAACCTGCTCCGGATCCCGACTGCCGTTCGTTACGGCACGTACGGCAGCGAGATCCGTCAGGGGGGCGCCCACCAGCCGCTCCATCACCAGGATCCTGAATACATTGGATCCAGAAATTCAATCCCATCCGATTAAAACCAGTGCGGAAAAAAACGTACAAGGCAAGCATAAAGATAAAAATTTCGTGTGTACGTGTGTGTATAGGGAGGGGGAGGGGGAGGAGGAGAGCATGGGTGGGGACTCAAAAGGAAGGGGGAAAACCTGAAAGCTGTGATTCGTCGAACGGACGCAACCGCACGCGGACGCACAGACAGACAGACAGACGTGATCACAAGGACACCCCCCATCGCCCGACACAACCCACCCATGTCGTACAGCCTGCAATACCTCCCCTCCCCCCCTTCCCACAATCAGTCCCGCCAACAAATACACACCTTTCCCCCCCTTTCCTCCCACCCCCACGTATGCCCCTCCCAGGTTTCCCCCCGCCCCCCATCATCCCAGATTCTATCCACACCCCACTTTCCTTCTTTTTATTTGCTGCCTTCTCTCGCCCCCTCTCTGTTTGTTAATCTCCCCCCCTGCCTTCCCCTCCCCTCCCCAACCCCCCCCCCCCCCAT